AAACCGATTGAGAATGAGGCGATTTTGATCCCGATGTGCGACTATGTGGTGTATGCGCAGTGCATCATCCGTCAAATCTTGATGGATCCTTCGCTCAGCCAGAACACTCTGCACGGATTGCTGCTTCAGATTTTGTTCATTTCCAAAATGGCGATGGATCGGGAAGATTCGGAAACGATGACGCAGCTCGTGATCGATTTCATGAATAATCTGGACGTGATTTATTCCCGCGCCAAAGTCTCATTCGTCAAGTTTACCTTCACTGAAGTAGTCGTTTTTCTCTGTTTTCATCGCAGATCATGACGCTAATGATTCATTACACCACGCAATACGACGCTGTCATCGCCACGATCACGATCAACCAGCTTCGCACGCAAGATCAGACAGCTGGCCACCATCTTCTCGTTCGCGCGATGTATTCATTGCTCGTAACGCTCACGCTCCGCGTTCCGCTTCGCAATGTGAATGAGGAGCGATGGAATCGCGGATTGAGCTCGTTACGGAAAGTTCTTTCGCAGAAAAGCGCGCACGAAGTGGTGGTGGCTTTGAAGAGCCTGCGTCGGTTTTATCGCCGATTGACGGACGACCAACGAATGAATTTGTATCAGGAATATTTGAATACGGTTGTGGAGGTGGTGATGAGCCAATTGATGGAAGATGCAAACGATTACGCGATGAAGCCGTATCTCAAAACGCTGGTTCTGCTACACCGCTTTTTGCCCGAGATGTCGATTGAAATGGTGGAGCGAATCGAAACGATCTGGACGAAGCATGAGAATTTGGAGATTCGGTATTGGATTGCTCGGTTGTGTGTGTCGATTTTGATCAAAGGAGAAAAAGGAGACAAAGGAGAAAAGGAGAAAAGCGAAGCGATTGGATCGATCTGCAATCGAATCATCCTTGAAACAATAGAAAACATCGATATCACTCTATCGTATCGTTCGATGCTTGCAGATCTCTGTCTGCTTCTTGACGAGGTTCATTCTTTGTCGCCTCGCTTCAAAGCTCTGTTTGTTTTCCTTGCGTTATGGAACCTCGAGGATTCCAATCACTCCATTCAAGACACAATTCTCCGATTGAATTTTGTGAAGCGAGATGGGCATTGTTTTGCTCCTGGAGTGAGCCAAACACGCGAAATACTGCTTCAATGTTCGAAGGAAGAAGCGGTTTGTAAGGAGTATGCGTCCATTGCTTCGCGCGTGCTTTGTAAATTTGTAGAAAGGAATATGCCAAGTGAATTGACGAAAGAGATGAGTGATGTGAGGATGATTGTTGTGAATAATGGATAGATTTATCAGAATGATAGCAGTTGCGTGATTCCTTCTGCTGTGGTCGCTTCTCTTTCGTATTTCTGTAAGAACGAAGAGATGAAGGAATTGAGAGAGAGACTAGATGAATGGAAAGGTCTTAGTGAGAAAGAGCCACTTTGGAAGAAGGTCGAGGAAAAGAAGGCAGATAAGATTTATGTCATTGAAACGATTCGTGATTCCTTATTTTACTATTGCTTGTTTGAAACAGAGCGATGATTGATAGGATTAGAAATAATTCGAGAAAGTGCGTGTGTGTTTTGAAATAATACTGAGGAATCGAAAGAAGTATTGATTCAAACAAAGTGATATTCCGCTATGTTTTTACGAACGATAAACTCAATATATCAATAAAAGTGTTTTCCTTTGAGTTGTTAAGTAGGGGTTTTTTGATTTAAACATCAAATCAAATTCGATTGTCTCAGTTCAACTCTTCGATCATTCTACAAATGGAGATAACGAATCTAAACATCAATTACATAATGAATTGGAAATTGACGGCTAAAATAATCTGAATTATGATAATAATGTTGAAAGAGAGTCAATTCATGTTTGGGTCCTGAATGAATGACCAAAGAAAAAAAGATAAGAGGTTTGGTACAAACATCGAAAGTGAGCATTGAATATACAGGTATATTAAATAGAATGAAGTGTATAGATCCAATGCTGTAATCACTGATTGTGTTTGACCCTAAATGTAAGAATGGAATATACAACATCTGTAAATGACATGAAATCAATCGAATACTACTCAAAATTCATTTCATTTGAATTAATCGATAGGAATATAAGGTCGAAAAACCGTGTGTACATTTGGAACATCTATGTACAATCAATACTTAACATTTAAAATTACTTTCCAATGTCACTAAACGACAATAATAACAACTATATCCTTCAGAATAGATGGATGTTAGATTTGGAAGATCTACATTCAATCATTTCAAATCATTCACTCATACTTCGCATTGTCAAGGAACAGGAATCAAAGAATTTTCTCCCACGTAGTGCCTTATAACTGATTGTAATGGACTTTAATGATGGAAGATCTACATCAATCATTTCATTCACATTTATTCAGTACTTTCGATAATTGTTGTTAAGGAATAACGGAATGCATTATCACCTAATGTAATGGATTGTAGATTTGGAAGATCTATGCATCATTCAAATATACAATAGCAGTTCAATACCTCGAACCACAAACGAACTGCAACAGAAATTAGGAGATTTACTTCCAATTGTACCAATTTGAATGGATTGTAGTTGTGGTAGATTCTTCAATTCAAAGTCTCCAGCAAAATCATTGAAACTAGATCCACCAATTTGAATGGATTTCAATGATTCACAATTCAATATGTGGAATGATTTCGATTGGAAGCATGTCTTCGAAACTTCCGCATAGCCTAGTGGATCCCACTGATCTTGTTTCACGCGAGTAAATGAATTCTTTCCGATGTTGATAGATTTCAATCGATTCAATCCATCGATTTTGAATGTTTGCACTGATTCAAAACAATCATTACCGATTTCGATTGATTCCAAATTATACAACAATGAAACATCCCAATCAACTAATATACAATGGTCAATCAGTTTCAAATGTTTCATTCCGATATTCAGTGGTTCTGAGCCATTTCCTTCATACTCAGTATCACATTCAATTCCATTACACCACAAACATTCTTTCACTTCCCGACCTTTTCGATCATATACTTTTCCATATCCATAAGAAATATCATCACACCAATATCCTTCATATTCAATCGCTCCATTATTATGATAACTCGTTCCATAGCCAAATCGTTTCCAATTGATCATTATGCCCTTGTACAACAAGAATCCATCATCATCATACATTTCACCATATCCAAATGGAATTCCAAACTTGTTTTCTGTCAATACCAATCCTTCAAATCGACTTCCATGATCCAAATCCACAATTCCTTCTTCTACTACTTCTATGGATTGTTCTTCATTATATGAAATATCACCAATTTGATGACTTCCAAACACTTTCAACACTTTCTGCTCATCGAGGACAAATCCTTGATTTATGAATATTCCATTATCGAATTGCAATACTACACACACTCTATTACTCAGTATAATAGAAATCCAGCCATTTAGTTTCATTTCTTTACCCAAGCATGCCTGCACATTTCGGAAAATGGAACTATCAACATGATAGTAACTAATAGCAGAATTGACAAAATCAGCAATGCTTTGCATCTAAATAAAAACATTTTTAAACACTGTTATATCACAACGTTTGTTTTTGTTTAAAGTCATTTTGATTACGAATGTTATTCTCATTACTATGGTAGTTTCCATATTATTAGTTACTAAAAACAATGATATTATTATTCTCAATTCAATTTTCTGTATCTGAACTTTTTTCTGGGTATTATAGAGTATTCCATCACTTTGCTTTTTTATCAATATCAAATAAAACATTTTTCTTTTTTAAGTGAATTCATTGTAATATTAGAAGTATCACTTTTCATATGATACTATTGTAATGCCAATGCTTCTCGTTTTTAATAATATCACATCACAGTCATTAAGATGCATTTGTATGAATAAGGCTTGAAATGATCATTGTGTTATTGAAATGCTCTCATTTTTACGATTTTGTTGAAAAAGAAAACAATAGAAAAGCTTACTAACTATTCTGGTCATTCACACATAAAATATGGTATTATTTCGTATTATGATACGATCAAAATGTTAAGGAATCACTGATTTAACAAAATGAACGAAAATATATATCACATCATCATTGGTAATAGAAAAACATAAACTACTGCTTAGATACAATAATTGGTATAATCTCGAGGTTCCTTGAATGAATGGATATCGATCGATTTGCTTAAAGACTATTTAAAAGATATATATATATATATATATCATTAGTTTGGATGTAAAGTTATTTATCTACACTTTATTCTTCAGCCATATACCAAAACGGTAGACATCATATTGATGAATACCAAATTGATTAGCATATGGTTTATTTGAGGAATATATAAGCAAATGCCTCATTGATTTTTCAGTCTAAATCCTTCATCCTTCTTCTAATATTACTATGCGTAATTTGATTTTCTATCATCCATTGTGATGATGTCAAAACAAACATTTGTTTAATATAATATACACCAACATATAGAAGAATTATCTTCATGATCATGTGGATATGATTGATCTACTGTTACACTATCAGGGAAAAAGGAATAAGCAACATCTACAAATGAATGTTAATCCATCAAACAATACTTGAAATTGATTTTGATTGAACGTTCAGAAATGAATAATAAGGAAGAAAAACAGTTTGAACATTTGGAACATCTAGATACGATCAGTGTTTGATAGTTTGAAATACTTTCCAGTACCACTGCACGAGTTTGTTCGAAACTATATCCTCGTGAAGTAATGGATGTTAGATTTGGAAGATCTACATTCAATCATTTCAAATCATTCACTCATACTTCGCATTGTCAAGGAACAGAATTCATCATTCCATATTCCACGAAATGAATACCAACCTAGCTCAATGGATTGTAATGATGGAAGATCTACATCAATCATTTCATTCACATTCTTTCAATACTTTCGATTATTGTTGATTTGGATTCTTGGAAAGCATAATCACCTAATGTAATGGATTGTAGATTTGGAAGATCTATGCATCATTCAAATATACAATATCATATCAATACCTCGAATCACAAATGAACTATCATGGAAATTACGTGATTTACTTCCAATTATTCCAATTTGAATAGATTGTAATTGTGGTAGATTCTTCAATTCAAAGTCTCCAGCAAAATCACTGAAACTATAATCACCAATTTGAATGGATTTCAATGATTCACAATTCAATATGTGGAATGATTTCGATTTGTTTTTTTCTCTATTAAATATCAAGCCATATTTCTCCAATACAGCAAATGAACTGTTTCCGATTTTGATAGTTTTCAATCGATTCAATCCATCGATTTTGAATGTTTGCACTGATTCAAAACAATCATTACCGATTTCGATTGATTCCAAATTATACAACAATGAAACATCCCAATCAACTAATATACAATGGTCACTCAGTTTCAAGTGTTTCATTCCGATATTCAGTGGTTCTGAGCCATTTCCTTCATATTCAATATTCCTTTCAATTCCATTAGACCATTCACATTCATTCACTAATTTACCATATCGATCATACACTTTTCCAATTCCAAATCGCTTATCATCACACCAATATCCTTCATATTCAATCAAACCATTATAATGATAACTCGTTCCATAGCCAAATCGTTTCCAATTGATCATTATACCCTTGTACACCAAGAATCCATCATCATCATACATTTCACCATATCCAAATGGAATTCCAAACTTGTTTTCTGTCAATACCAATCCTTCAAATCGACTTCCATGATCCAAATCCACAATTCCTTCTTTTACTACTTCTATGGATTGTTCTTCATTATATGAAATATCACCAATTTGATGATTTCCAAACACTTTCAACACTTTCTGCTCACTGACCACAAATCCTTGATTCATAAATATTCCATTATTGAATTGCAATACTACACATTCTCTATTACTCAATATGAATGAAATCCAGCCATTTAGTTTCATTTCTTTACCCAAGCATCCCTGTACATTTTGAATGATGGAACTATCAATATGATAGTTATTAATAACAGAATTGACAAAATCAGCAATCTTTTGCATCGAAATGAAAACCATCGTTTTTATGATTGAGTTGTCGTTATTTTCGACTAAGAGCATTTGCTATATTTGTCACATAACACTCAGTATCCTCGCATAGTACTCTTCAATATGATGAATAGAATAAAATGAAAAAAGCAGTTCTCTTTATGATAAGCACTCTTCCCAGATTCCTAACATATGTAGATCCTTGATAATTGTTCTAATATTCTATTATACTTCAGATATTTGTAATGAAGAAATGTGTATTACTGTGTAAATAACACACAATCATAGACATTGTACCCATAATTGACTTTCGATGCTTAGCGTATCTATGTTTTATACATCACATAACCACTCCTATCAATCCCTTTTTCTGTCATTTCAGAATCATTTCCTAAGTCTGTGGGATCCCACAACTTTACATCAATGAACAAAGTGAACTAAGTATTTTTATTTTAGGTTGATGTCCATTCCTAGATTGGTCAATCGTTTTTACTGTCATTTACATATAGTCAACATCATTGAGAGTGTCTCTTAATCAATTTGCACCCGATCTGAGTAAGATTCGTTTGGAACGGGATGAAATCGATCATAAAAGAGAGGAATACATCAACAAGCTAAACGAAGCAAGAAAGCGCCTAACTTGGGAGAATTTTGCTTCCGTTCCTGTGGATTATGAGCCAGATTTGCGTAAAAAGTATGCGGAATTAATCGCTATTTGCCAAAAGTAGGTTTTTCATAGTACTACTTGATTCGAAAGGAATAAGGCATACGACACATTGGACGTGAATGAAATGGCTCTTTGCGTATATGAAGCATCCTTAGATCCGAAACTTCGACCCGAGATAGAAAAGCTCTATGGTTCTGCTTTATCAAAGCTTTGGAATAAGTTCCATGAGCTAAGTTTGGAGCTTCGGAAATACTACAAACCTTTGAAAAGCACTCGAAAGGAAATAGTCACAACCCTTGACAAAATCTATGGTGTTGATATTCCCATGAATTTGAACATATTCCAAACAGTTTCTACTGCCAATAATGATGGTAGTAGTAAGAATAAGGAGGACGAAAGCAATTCTATGAATGAGCCGAATCCTTCATGTGAAGCTACTGCCTCTTGTGAACCTGAGAATCAAGAACATGACACTACAGTGTATGATACAGACTGGCTGTTTGTATAGTACATGATTCTCATATGTAGAGTTGCAGTTTGTGACGATTATCTCTCCAGTCATCCTGCCTCTCGCGATGTTTTCACCGCTACTTCCCTTTGCGACTGCATCATTTCCATGCTCGAAAGTGCAGGTCCCGATCAAAACCAGGAGGAATTGCTGAATCTCCTAGGCATGGATTCTGTCGAAACTGTGTTTCAGATTCTCCAGCATCGAAATGACTTATTACAGGCTCCGGGAGAATCATCCGAACCTCCTGAACTTTCATCGAAGTCTCAGTCCTTATCGCAACGTCCAATCGACGATATGGGTCTCGATGAAGACTTTTTAGACCAGCTAAAGAAGCAAGGGTTGAGGCTGCCAAACGAACCACGGGGTCATGACGATCGATACAAAGGATATATGCTTGGCGTCAAGTTGAATCATGATGTCACGATGAATGAGCGTGTTTCGGGTCAAAAGACGTATCACGACGTTTGCTTGCTGTGGTTGTTTGATCATCTAGGGATACGAGGAACTTCTCGTCCAGCCATCCTGCAAACAAGCGTCCCAAGAGATTCCTCTGGTTTCTGTCAACGTTCTGGAGGACTGGGGACAGTTGGTGTTTGAGGGAGTGACGAAGTTCAATCGTCTGCAATCCTGGGTGTTCGACTGTGCGTACAACACAGATAACAACATGCTGGTGTGCGCCCCAACTGGAGCCGGAAAGACGAATGTCGCGCTACTGACGATTCTCCACGAGATCAAAAAAATCATGGAAGAGTTGGGCGTGATTCGACGCGAAGAAATGATAATCATCTATGTGGCGCCGATGAAGGCTTTGGCTCAAGAGATTGTTGCCAAATTCACAAACACGCTGGGGAAACTTGGACTGATTGTTCGGGAACTGACCGGAGATATGCAGCTGACTCGGCAGGAGATCGCTGAAACCCAGGTGATCGTAACGACGCCCGAGAAGTGGGATGTCATCACTCGCAAGGGAGGCGATAACTCGCTTGTCGAGAAAGTGAAGTTGTTGATTTTGGATGAAGTGCACTTGCTAGCGAGTGATCGAGGCAATGTAATTGAAAGCATCACCGCTCGCACACTCCGTCAGGTTCTTTCTATTCTCCTTCCTATGAGCTTTAGATCGAGTCAACTCAAAAGTTTATTCGACTTGTCGGACTTTCTGCAACGCTTCCCAACTACATGGATGTTGCCGAGTTCCTTCACGTCAACTTGGAGCCAGGAAAGGGATTGTTCTACTGCGATGACTCGTTCCGTCCTGTGCCTTTGACCCAGCGTTTCATCGGCATTACCATCCAGAACAAAGCGAAGGCCACCGAGAAGCAGTACGAACTGGCGTTCGATCGAGTGGTGGAGGAGCTGAAGATCGATAAGCAGGCGATGGTTTTCGTCCACAGTCGTCGCGACACGTTAGTTACCGCCCTCAAAATCCTCGATTACGCCCAGCAAAAGGGAAAGCAGGGCTTCTTCCAAACTCCCATCGACCACGAAGAATACAGTTACTACAGCGGTCGTGTTCAGCGATCCCACAACGCTCAGCTACAAAAATTATTCGCCAGTGGTATTGGAATTCACCACGCCGGAATGCGTCGCGCGGATCGATCTCTCGTTGAAGAAATGTTCGCCAAAGGCGTTCTCCGCGTGATTTGCTGCACAGCCACGCTGGCCTGGGGTGTGAATCTCCCAGCCCATGGCGTTATCATTAAAGGAACGCAGCTCTACGATGCTTCGCGCGGCGGATGGTGCGATGTCGACATTTTGGATGTGATTCAAATCTTTGGACGAGCTGGCCGACCTCAATTCGATACAACTGGAGAAGGCTGCATCATCGGCATGCACGACAGCATTGATAACTTCGCTCGCTTGATGGTGATGAAGGTAAAGCCGATGCAATCGTTTTATTATGCATAGCTTCCAATCGAGTCTCACTTCATGAAGAATCTGTGCGATCATATGAATGCGGAAATCGTGGCAGGAACCGTCACGAATATCCGCGAGGCGGTGATTTGGATCCAATACACATACATGTACATCCGCATGCTGAAGAGTCCCAAGGCGTACGGCGTGAGCAATGAAGAGCGACTGCGCGATCCTTCCCTGTTTTTGCATTGCGAGTCGGCTTGATGGATGCGATTTACCCACAGAAACATGGTTATAGACACGGCCACACAGTTGGATAATGCGCACATGATTCGCTATGATATGGAAACGGGCAATCTGTTCCCAACCGATCTCGGTCGTGTGGCTTCTCACTTCTATATCGCGTATTCAACGATCGAGATTGTGAACAACACACTGCTGGACACTTCCACTTGGGAAACGATTCTGATGATCATCTCGCAGAGCCAAGAGTTTGTTTCGATCAAGTTGCGAGACGAAGAAATCGCAGAATTGAAGGACATGCGAAGCCAGTGCTGCCGCATCAGCACCAAAGCGAAGCTGGATGACGATTTCACCAAGACGTTCATCTTGCTCCAAGCCTACATCAGTCAATGGGAGCCGCACGAAGCCACGCTCTTCTCCGACTTCAACTTCATTTCTCAAAACGCGGGGCGAATCACGCGCGCTTTATTCGAGATTTGCATTCAGCGCGGCTGGTCGAACGCGGCGTACAAACTCTTGTGTCTGTGCCGCTCTATCGAAAAGCGAATCTGGTTCACTGACCATCCGCTGAGCCAAGTCCCCATCCATCGCGAGCTTCTCGGTCGGATCGTCGTAGGAACAAACCCATCGAATCGACCATAGAATCGCCGCCTTTCCCTGGAAGACCTGCGTGACATGAAAGACGACGAGATTTCTGCGTATTTGGATCAGCGAAACATTGGAAAAGTCGTGTCGAATCTGGTTCGCATGGTTTGCATTTCGCACGATTTCGATTCTAGCTTCCTTTCTACGAGGTGGAAGGCGCGTTGCAGCCAGTCACGTCTACCATTCTTCGCGTTTCTGTATCGATTAAATGCGCGTATAACTGGACACTGAAGATGCACGGACCGGTTTGTTTTTCGACAGGATTTGATATTCTCTCTAGATCGATCAATTGTGGGTCTGGATTGAGAATTCCCAGACGCACATGATTTTGTACTCCGAAGAGCTTCAGATCCAATACAAAAAGAGAAAAGAAGAGCAGACCCTGGAGTTCGCCATCCCCGTTTTCCCTCCACTCCCCGAGTTCTACACTCTTCGTGTTTGCTCCGATCATTGGCTCGGGTCGGATATCGAAGTCTACCTCCCTCTCCGCGGTCTCCGCATGCCGCACGACTCCAAGCGACAAACGCCGCTCCTCGATCTCGATCCCCTCCCCGTTACCGCCCTCAAAAACCGCGGATATCAGCGTCTTTACAGCTTCTCCCACTTCAACGCGGTGCAGACGCAAGTCTTCTTCATGTCCTACCATACCGATGAAAACCTGCTGATCTGCGCGCCGACAGGCTCTGGAAAAACCGTGGTGGCCGAGCTCGCGGTGATGCGGTTGCTGGAAGCTCACAAAGGAGAGAAGGCCGTGTATATCGGTCCGTTGAAGTCGCTGGTGCGCCAGAAGCTGCTGGATTGGAAGGAGAGTTTTGAGAACCGATTGGGGCATCGCGTGATCGAGTTGACTGGAGATTCGGCTCCGGAATTGGGGCAGATCCAGCGCGCGGATATTATCGTAACGACGCCCGAGAAGTGGGATGGAGTGAGTCGACAGTGGGAGCATCGAAGCTATGTGCAGAAAGTGGGCGTGATCATTCTCGATGAAATCCATCTGCTGGGCGCCGATCGAGGTCCCATCATTGAGGTCATCGTCTCGCGTCTTCGCTTCATCGCACAGAAAGAAAACAGACACATTCGTGTCATCGGACTGAGTACAGCGCTCGCCAATGCCACCGATCTCGGAGACTGGCTTGGAATCCACGGAACGGGGCTGTACAACTTCTCCCACTCCGTGCGACCGGTGCAGCTGCAAGTCCACATTTCCGGCTATCCAGGAAAGCACTATTGTCCGCGCATGGCCACAATGAATAAGCCGTGCTACACCGCCATTCGGCAGTATTCGCCTCACAAGCCCGTTCTTGTGTTCGTGGCGTCGCGTCGCCAAACGCGACTGACCGCGTTCGGTTTGATTAACTACGCGGCGTTCGACGATCCCTTCCAATGGCTTCACATGAATCCCGAGGAGATGCGCGTGATTATCAGCACGATTCGCGACGAAAGCCTCCGAGAAACGCTTCCGTTTGGAGTTGGAATCCACCACGCCGGTCTCTGCGCTAATGATCGAATGATCGTCGAGCGACTCTTCTCTCAAGAGAAGATTCAGATTCTCTGCACGACCTCCACGCTGGCGTGGGGAGTCAATCTCCCTGCGTATTTGGTGATCGTGAAAGGAACGGAGTACCACGATGGAAAGACGTGCCGATGGGTGGATTACCCGATCACAGATGTGTTGCAGATGATGGGACGTGCAGGACGACCGCAATACGATTCGGAAGGCGTGGCTTGCGTGATGGTTCACGACATCAAAAAGAACTACTACAAGAAGTTTTTGTATGAACCCTTCCCGGTGGAATCGTCCTTGCATCTGCATCTCCATGATCACATCAACGCCGAAATCGCCGCTGGAAATCTCAAGAACGTGCAGGATGTGATTGATTATCTGAGCTGGACGTTCTTCTATCGCCGCCTTCTCAGCAATCCTTCCTATTACGGTCTTTATTCCGATAAAGTCGAGGACATCCAGACCTTCCTTCTCGACATGGTCACCAGCGTGCTGCGCACGTTAGAAAGCGCTGGCTGCATCAAACTGAAGGAAAACAACGCGATCGAATCGCTCAAGCTGGGTCAGATCTCCTCGTTCTACTACGTCGCTTATTCGACGGTCCACCTCTTCGCCAACGATCTCTTCCAAATCGAAACGATTCCCGAGCTGCTCACGCTCATCTCCAACGCGACGGAGTACGATCCAGAGCCTGTTCGACACAACGAAGAGATCCACAACGAGGCGTTGAGCCATAACATGTATTGGCCCGTCGACGAAAACGCCAATTTCGAGGATCCGCACATCAAAACGTATCTGCTGCTTCAGAGCTTCATGCTGCGGCTTCCGCTCCCTGTGGCCGATTTTGTGAACGATCAGAGCAGCGTGCTCGATAATTCCATTCGATTGATCAACGCTCTCGCGGACATTGCGGGCGAATTGAAGCTGTCCAATCAGCTGCGCTTGATTTTCACGACGATGCCGCTGCTGATTCAAGCGATTATGCCGTACGATTCCGAGTTTTTGCAGCTCGACGGAATGGACAACAGCATTATGAAACGGCTTAAGAACGAAGGATATCGCAAGTTGAAGGACTTCCGAAATCATTCTGAGTCCGAGCTGATGGACGTGATGATGAAATGTCGCTTGGATTCAAACCTGGCCTCCAAAGTTCGTTCTGGTTTTCGCTTTCATTCATAGATCATCAAGTCCTTCTTCAATCTCCCAGAACTCATCGTTGCCTTCAGCATTCTCGACGACAAGAAGCAGCTCGATCCCGCAAACCTCGTGCTTCTGGTGGAGAAGGAATACGTCGTGGAGGTTTCGCTGAAGTTGAAGAAAGTGGTGCCGCAACGCGTTTTCGCTCCGCGATTCAAAAAGCCGAAGAACTACTCCTATTTCGTGTTCGTAGAGAACGCAGCGGGGCAGATTCTGACCTGGAAACGTGCCTCTGTGGTGAAGAATACGACGGTTAAGCTGCCTATTTGCTTGAAGAGTGTCGGATCGCAGGAGCTGACAATTCGCGTCATGTGCGATTCGGTGGTGGGAATCGACGAGTCGATGGATATGAATGTGAAGGTGACGGGAAGTGAAGAGGAGGCGCAGCAATTTGAGTCGAGTACGAGGAGTTTCCAGGAGTATAAGGACGATGAAATGGATGCTGATCAATTTGAGGATGAGATTTTCGATGAGTATTTGGCAGATGGGTTCTAATGAATTTCAGCATTGTTTGTTTTGATACACACAATACATACAAGGAAGGGAAAAGAAAAACTGCCGAAATGGAAAAAGAAAAATGGAGGAGAGGGGCATCGATCCCCTTACCTCTCGCATGCTAAGCGAGCGCTCTACCATCTGAGCTACACCCCCTCAAAGAAATGAATTAACACAACCTATTTGAATATACTATATTCAATAGATGAACAGAAAATGGAGATTGAGAAGCAGAATCCCCTTTCTCAAACCACTCTTGTTTCAACCTATGTGTTTGTTGTGATTAAAGTGTATGTTGAGCGTTTTGAGTTCGATTGTAGAGTTGGACTCCGAATTGTCGATATTTCGACTGAAAAGCAGATTTACGGATTGATTGTAAGCGTGATATTTGTGAATTAAAAGAGTAGAGCAGTGCTTTGTTAGGTTCCTTTGGTTATTTGGGATCTGCACGTATATCATTCGATATCGTATGCTGTAAAAGAGATGTTGTGATTATTCGAACCCTTGCCAAGTGTGTCTTTGTTTTTTCTCTGATATGAAGGACCCAAAATGATTTCCTGACTGCTATTTCGTTCGTAGGATCCTATAGCGACACACCGTGCCATTTGCTCTGTGAAGGTTGCTATTCCACCCTTCTTTCCGCTGTTCACAAGGCGAACATGGTCGTTACTGTTCCTTCTATGTCTCTTTTTCTTGTTTCTTTAATAAAATATAAAAACAAACATTCCACAAGTCTTCAATATCATCACTAGAAACGTTATACTTGGAAGAAGGACACATATTACGCAGCTTGCATTCACTGCATTTGGGCGAACCCTTGCAAATCTGCTGACCAAACCCCACTAACAGCAAATTAATCTCGAACCAGTACTGCTTGGGAAGCCAAGCTTCCAGAGCAACTCTTGTTTGCTCAGGAGTATTTGTGTGAACCCATTCAAGCCGGTTACTAATGCGATGCACATGGACATCGACCCCAATCCCGTCTATCTTATTCCACGCCACTTTCAACGCCAAATAGCCCATTTTAGGGCCAACGCCGGGTAATTTGACGAGTTCCTCGATAGTATCCGGAATGTCTCCGTCGTACTTCTCTAGCAATATATCCGTCGTTTTCTTTATGTATTTCACTTTCTTGGTCCAAAAGCCAACTTTGCAAATGAGCTCTCCCAACTTTTCGTCTGATGTTTCCTGGATGTGCTTGGGAGTGAGCCCATACTCTCGCAACTTCAACATCGTCGCGTGTGTTGTCTTAATTATACAACCGAATCACACTTACTTGATCCTTAGTCTGCGATGAAAGCATCAAACCGATGAGAGTTTGATAACGGAAGACTTTTGGCTCCGCATCCTTGTCAGATACACACTCCGTCCCTTGAGAATCCACTGGAGCGTCGCGTTTACTTCGTCATCTCTTTGATCAACTAGGAATCACAATTCTATCAAAATAATACACTGTACTCCTTCTCGAAGAGAGGAGGAATCTCTGTTGACAATTTATCTTTCTTTTGCTCTTTCTTCGTGATCCGCGTTTTTTTAGATTTTCTACACATTACAACGCCCAATTTACAACGAACTGCTGTGTGTCGGACTCGTCACTAGAAAAAGACGCAGATTCGTCGAGGGACTCTTTTCGATTCCGTTTTGGCACCATTTCAAACGCAGCTGTTCCAAAGCAGTATTTTGCCAAACCTGTATAGAAGAACTGTTGCTCAATTGGAATCAGTTGTACGCGGCACGATGGGATCCCCACTCGCAGGCATCTCCACGCACGAACCCCCACTATCCTCCACATTCCTTTGCTTTAAACAAACAGTTTTCTAAAAGAACAAAAAACAAGCCTCACAAATCAATAAAAACGGGCTGCGAATTCACTCGGCTCATCGCCTGCTCGCCTTCCTCCATCGACACTTCCAAACTCGACTCGTACCCATTAATGATCTTCACCCAGTTCCTCTCCTCATTAAACGCCAGCACGCACACCACCCGCTTCTCATCGCACACCATTCTCTCCAACGAGTACACCACCGTCGGGAAATCCACGCTCACCCGCTTCAAAATGAGCGACAAAATCGGCAGATTCTCCACCGACAATTCATTCATCGGCCGATTGTACGACACCACCACGCGATACTGCGTCTTCGACTGCTCCAACCTCGCCTGCGCCGTCTGCGCCACCACCAGCATCCGGCTCAGCAGCTTTCTAAACGGGGAAACGGGGAAACAACAGCGTACTGGTCGATGTTTTCGCGGGATTTCCAGGTTATTTGGGATTCGGTCCAGCACTCGGAGCTTTGCAGCTCGCGATAATGCTGAAACGCTCGGTTTAGGAGCGCGATGCACGTGCACAGAGGACGCACATCGCGGATGGCGCAGGTGTCGAAGAGTGTGATGCCTAGATCGGTCAGAACCGCGGGGATGGAGCGTACTGACGCTGCTGGAAGGCTCGGATTCCCCGTAGCGCGTGTTCGTTTCGAGACTGAACAAAATCGTGGGACAGCACTGCACGATGGTGTACAAACTCGGCAATCCCCACCTCACCGAGCATTCCTCTATTCATTACCGCGGGAAATCACATAAACGAAGCGTGTTGCTGACTAATTGCCACGTGACCGTCGCGTGAATTGTGTTTTGATTGAAATTGTCAACCATCTTCAGCAGCAAATCGCTTTTCTCCGCTTTCGACTGCAGCTGCAGCGCATCGCGGAGCAATTCCGATTGCTGCGACTCGAGAAGTTCCCGCGAAAACTCGCTTCGTCCCGCGAAGAACGAGCGAAGCCGATCGACAAACCCGCGGTTTTCTTGGGTTTAGAAGGGAAGTCTGCGCTACCTCGCGCTCTTCTCGCGAGTTTGTCGTGTTTTCCCGCGGAAAGCGACTCATCGCTGGGTGTTTCGCCGGGCAGGAAGGCACTGGAGTAGGGAGAAAGCGCCTCGGGGTCGTCGAGGGCTTTGAGATTGAGCTGCGTGAGCCAATCGCTGTGTTGAACTGCCAATCAAATGAGTTTCGAAGAGCGCTACCACGTGAGAGCTCGAGAGGGGTGCCGTAGCTCGTGGAGAGGTAGGGATCTGCGTAGAGTGGAGGCTGGGGATCGGGAAGAGGGAGAGGAAGGTAGGAAGAAGGCGCGGAAGGAGAGATCGGAATGTAGCTCGAGGCGTGCGGTACGTCTGGTTCCAGTTTTATCGAGAGATCGGGAGTGGGGAGCGGCTGGAATGAGGGGAGAGCCGTTAGCGACGTAAAGGAAGGGATGGAATGAATGCGTGTGATACAGGGTGCAGGGTGCATGGGGGGAACTTCCGCTGGTTGGATGATAGGACGAACAGGTTGGACAAAGGATTTCGCCTCTTGAGCTGCATTTTCGAGAGCAGCGAGTTCTCGGTTTTTTCGCTTGTTTTGCCGAACTTTGAAGACTTTGCAGTGCACATGGGGAGGTCCCTTTTTGCAGTCAGTCACACAACAGCAAATCCCTAAGCAACGAGGACATTTGAAATTACGATCATCAACAGTGGTACGGATACCGAATTTTTTGTATAGCTGTTGGAGACAAAAGACTCGTTTGCAATAGGCACACCGGACGCGCCCTCTTCGTTGGCCACATTGAGCTTTACCACACAGATGACACGTCCGAATCAGTCCTCCGTCCTCTTGCTCTTCATTCTCTTCTTCAGGTTCAAGGTGTTCTTCAGTAGGTTTCTTGGTAGGCATTCTTCCGCATATAGATATCCTCCTTGATAGAGAGTTCGAAACCAAGCGAAAAAAGAGAAAGTGGAAACCACATTCAATTCGAATTTTGTTTTTTCTGTAAAACCTTGGCTAGAGGAACGTGCAATTGTTTCTTTGGCGACAGATGGTTTTTCTAATTTGTTGTACTTACTTTTATTCGATTTTATCCATCGGGGACAGTGTTGCTTAATTACTTGTTAGTCGTTCTTTCAACAGTCACATTCGTATTTGTACAACATGCTTCATACTTTCTACACTCCCTACCTATTTTAAACATTGCTTATTTCCTCATTCACATCATCCCTCCCAAATCCACTTTCCAACAAACAATCCAATTCTCGTTCGGCTTATAAACCTTCACATCGACCTTGTTATGCGAGCTGAATCCCGTCCCTCCACTCTCCAACACCAAAAATTCCTTCTTTTTAACCACCGGAATCTGGCAACAATAACACTGCTTCGAGGGACCAACAAATTTGCGGAAACAATCGCCGCACAAGCAATGACCACATTGTTTGACGACGATAACCTGCTGGTGCTGGAATTTCTTCAGACACGCTGGACAAGCGAAGCTATGCTGAAACCAAGAGAAAAACGGCCAACCTATCGTCAATCACCGTGAAGTTCAATTCGATCAGTTTCTTGCGTGTTACGTCGTGTCCACCTCCTGGACAAGCGATTTCCTTGGATGGCTACATAAAAAGGGACGGAGAACAAGTCACCATTTTCATGCGCTCTTTGTATTCGGGCGTGTTTTCTGGGATCCAGAAGTTCATCGCCAGACTCTTCTCCTCGGCCGTGCGATTGTCGTAATTGCAGCTGAGCTTGTCTACGACGCGTTTCATCTCTTTGAACTCTTTATCTTCTTTCGTTTCCACCGAATTGACGTACATCTCACGTTCAGCATCGGAATGGGGCTTACATGCTTGTGATCGCTTGCTGCTGCGGATTGCATTCTCTCGATATCGTCACAGATCTGTGCCTCTTCTGTTTTCGTATTCTCTCGGATTTCTTGCTACCAAATCATAAAATAAACACGGAAAGACCTCTTCATCTTGAATCATTTGTTGGTAGGCGTCCATTTGCTCTTCGTACTCCTTCTTCTTTGTTAAAAGGTATTTATAGATGCATTCCTTGCAGAACAGATGGCCCTGCTCACTACTCATCAGAATTATCCAAATTCAAACCATACCAGCACATTGGGCTTACTACATGGTGCAAACAGAGCGTACAGTAGTCAAATGGCTTCACTGAATCGCTTCCATACACTAAACTCTGCGAACCCAAACTAGTCCATCAAACCTTCTCCCTCGCTTCAGTACGCGCTTTTCTTCTTCTCGTAGTACGAGTTGAACGTACGAGTGTTCGCATTCTTCGAGTGGCGCGGCATGAAAATCAAAATGGCTCCAACAAACACGTAACCCATAAAACACGTTATTTCACAATCGCAATAAAGAGAATCACGTGAATAAAGATCGCATAGATTGTGATCAATCGCTGAAGCTCCAGAGGAAGACGCTTAAAACTCCTTCTCAGCTTCATATAATCGAATTTCGCTCTCGTAGAGAACGGCTGGTTCTTCTATGAATGAAGTTCAACCACCTCAACACACCGGAGCCACCAACGGCGCTTCATCCGAATCGGAATCATTTCCCTGCTTCGCTCTCGCATAATTCACAGGACGCATATTAATCGATCTACCTTTCATTCCACCACTCCACCACCAACACGCTCTCTTTCCTTATCTGCTCCTGCTCCAAAATTTCGACCTTTTTTTGCAATTCGCTATTCAGCGAAGCCACGCGCACGTACTTCGATTCCGCGCTTCCCAGCAACGATTTCAAACTCTCATTGGCCTCTCGGAGCGACACGAGCTCCGAGGACGATTCCTGCAGTCCCTGCAACTCGCTCTTGGATTTCTCGGTTTCCTCTTTCAGCAGCGTGTTCAGCTTCAAGCAGCTTTCGTAGCGTTGCGTCAATTCATCGTGTTTGCTTTCTAACGTGCTCAGACTACCGCGAATCGAGCTCAGCTCCTCGTCGCGCCGCGCGATTTCCGACTGCAACTGCGGCAGCGAAGCCAGCTGCGACCGTTGGGCCTCACTACATCAAAAAGTGGAAACGTGGAAACATGGTGGTTTGCTGCTCCGCGAGCTGCTGCCGGAGCGTGTCTGCCTCGCTGTGAGCGTCGGAAGGGTTCGACTGCGCTCGAAGGAGCGCTTGGAGCTGCTGGATTTGATCGTTTGCTGCCTTCAATTCGCTGTCGTGTTTGTTTTTCACTAAAACGAACTTGTGTCGACGCGATTCTTCCTCGGCCTTCATCGATTCGATCTGCTTCTCGCGTTCTGACAACTCCTTCGCCAGTTTCTCCATCTCGCTCGATGTGTTCTGCTGCTCGTTCATCGACGTTTCCATCTCGCGAACTCGCTCTTCCAGCCCCTCCTTCTCTCTCTCTAGTTCCTCCATACGTCCATCCTGCATGTCGTTGCGCTCCTTCGCCGCCTTCAACGCATCGCTCAGCTCCGTCGTCTGCTTTCGCAGCTCTCCGATCGTCCTCTCCTTCTCCCCCAATTCGCCCTTCACCTCTTCATAATGCGAGCTGCTCTGCTCCACGAGCTGCCGCAGATCGCTCTCCAATCGCTTGTGTTTCTCCACTTCCCCGCGGAGCGCGTCGGCCGCCTGCTCCGCCTTCTCCGATCGCTCCTGCAGGTCGCGCTGGGACTGCTCCAATGCCGCGATTCGCTGCGTGTTGGCTTGGTTCGACGCGATGGCTGTCTCTAAATCGTGGGTTTGCTGCGTTAACGAGAGCGTTAACTGCTCGTTTTCGTCTTCTTTTTGTCGCAGAAGCGCGTTGCATTCCGCCACCGTCTCGCTCTTCGCTTTGAGAATCGCGCGGTCGCTCTGCTCCAGCTTCTGCTTCAGCTGCAACGCTTCGGCCTGCTGCGCTGCGAGCTCGGATTGAAGCGACGCCAGGGCGGATTGATTGGCCGTGGAAGCAGAAGCGAGCTCGGCGTTTTCGGCGTGGAGGTGCTCGATCGCCTTGGTGAGCTGCTCTTTCTCCTTCTCTAACAGCGCGTTTTCGTCGGTGATTCGCTGGACTTGGTTGTTGAACGTCGTTGCAGCTTGCGTGAGCTGCTGGTTCTCGCTGGCCAGCTGCTCGCGCTCGGCTTCGGAGGAAGAAAGCGTGGAGGAAAGCTCGCGGTTTTGCTCCTCGAGGGCGGAGCAGTGGGATTGCAGGGAGGCGAGCTGGCTTTCGAGGAATTCGGACTTGGCGGTGGCTTCGTTGAGGTGAGAGCGGAGGTTCTGAACTTCTTCCAGGGCAGAGGATTGCTGGAGCTGGAGGCTGCTGAAGAGGGATTTTTGCTGGGAAAGTTCCTCGACGAGATTGTCTTCCTTCTGAGTAATCTGAGCCAACTGTGATTTCAACGATTCCATTTCACTCAGCTGTGATTTCAGTGATTCCATTTCTTCATTGGATTCAGTTTTCTTTGATTCCATCTCACTTAATTGAGCTCGAAGTGAGTCCATCTCATTCAATTGTGATTTCAGTGATTCCATTTCTTCATTGGATTCAGCCTTCTTTGATTCCAATTCATTCAATTGCGCTTGCAGTGATTCCATCTCATTCAGCTGAGTCCTCAACGATTCCATCTCGCTCAACTGAGCTCGCAGTGTTTCCATCTCGCTCAACTGCGATTTTAACGATTCCATTTCTTCATTGGATTCAACCTTCTTTGATTCCATCTCGCTCAACTGAGTTCTCAACGCTTCCAATTCTTCATTGGATTCAGTTTTCTCTGATTCCATTTCTTTCAGTTGCGCTCGCAGTGATTCCATTTCACTCAACTGCGATTTCAGTGATTCCATCTCGCTTAATTGAGCCTTCAGCGTTTCCAATTCTTCATTAGACTCAACCTTCTTTGATTCTATCTCACTCAACTGGGCTCGCAGTGATTCCATTTCACTTAACTGCATTTTTAACGATTCCATTTCTTCATTGGATTCAGTTTTCTTTGATTCCATTTCATTCAATTGCGCTTTTAGTGATTCCATTTCACTTAATTGAGCCCTCAACGCTTCCATTTCTTCATTGGATTCAAACTTCTTTGATTCTAATTCATTCAGTTGCGCTTTCAATGATTCCATCTCGCTCAATTGCGCTCGCAGTGATTCCATCTCGCTCAACTGCGATTTTAACGATTCCAATTCGTTTAATTGAGCTCGCAACGATTCCAATTCTTCATTAGATTCAGTTTTCTTTGATTCCATTTCATTCAATTGCGCTTTTAGTGATTCCATTTCGCTTAATTGAGCCCTCAACGCTTCCATTTCTTCATTAGACTCAAACTTCTTTGATTCCATTTCACTTAACTTAGCTTTCAAAGACTCCATTTCTTCATTGGATTCAGCCGTTTTCTTTGATTCTATCTCGCTCAATTGCGCTCTTAGTGATTCTAATTCTTCATTGGATTCAGCCTTCTTTGATTCTAATTCATTCAGTTGCGCTTTCAACGATTCCATCTCGTTCAATTGCGCTCGCAGTGATTCCATCTCGCTTAATTGAGCCTTCAACGCTTCCAATTCTTCATTAGACTCAACCTTCTTTAATTCCATTTCACTTAACTGAGCCCTCAACGATTCCACCTCTTGCGACAACAGACCGTCTTGCGCAGAATTCCCCTGGCCTTTCTTTAGGCTTTCGATCTACATTCAAGCCTTTCTCCACGATTACCTCTTCATCTTTTGCAGCCATTGCCACTTTCAAATGCTCATATTCCTTTCGCATCTCACTGGCCTTGGATATAATTGCATTTGCCTTCTCCAGCTTGGTCTTATACTGTTGAATCTAGGAGTTAGCGATGCCAACAACCTCCACTCTCTCATAAGCAACTTTACGATCTACTCATTACTCCAAACCTCTATATACTACCTTTTTGAATCGTCGTATTCTCCTCTTTCAATTGCTTGTTCTCCTGAACCAACGTTTCCTTGTCATCTTTTCGCAGTTCCTCTAACTGCGCTTTCATACTCTCGATCTAGAAAAGATAATTCAATCACTCAAACAAAACCTCGACTTCGTAATCATGATTTTGCAAAGCAATACGCCTTAGTTCGTCTGTTTTCATCTGAAGCAAACTGTCTCGTTGTTGAATTTCAGACTCAAGCTCAGCAACTCGAGTATTCACGTTTGAACCGTTAACCATGGTTTCCCCATTCACTGCCTTGTTATCGTCTTCCTCGTCCGAAAAGTCTGCAGCATTACAGTGTTCGTGAGCATTTACCAAGATCGTCGTTCATCTGAAACGCGTCTCCCGAAACATCATCATTCTCTTCTTCTCTTCCAAAACCAGCCCAAGAAAACATAAGAAAAGAAATATCAAAAAAGTAGTAAGCATCTGCCAACCTAACGTTCTTTTCCAACAAACAAAAAAACACAGCTTATTGATAATAGCAGCTACCAGGGTTTGGAGGAGCGCTTCGTCCCTTCGCATTGTCCACCGGGGCAGCAGGCACGCCTCTGTGATTCAACAGGCAGCGGAAGTAGCGCATACGATCGTGCGCAGCCTCCACGTCATTCACCTCTTTCGGACTCCAGTATCGCTCGGCAAAAGCGCCAGCGCGCGGCCAAACGGTGTTGTAGAGATCCGACACATCCACAGTCTCCGCCCACATGCAAGCCTCGCCTCCCAGGACGAGCGCCTGCTCCTCAGGCACATCGGTGAACTCGAAGGGCTCGTCGTTGTAGAGAGCCTTCCAGGTCTCATCGAGGTGGTCCAGATAGGTGTGAGGATCGGAGATGATCACCTTGTATCCGTTGGCGACCACATCCTTCATGGTCTTCTTGTTCATCCAGGTCTGAATAATCGTCTCCTTGTCCAGCTGCGTGCGGAAGTTCAGCCAGACCTCCTCCCAGTAGATTCCATTGCGGTGGTTCTTGAGCACCATCTGCTGCACCTTCTGCACGAAGTACTTGTAGGTGTCGTGGTCGGTGAGATTGTTCTTCTTCATCCACTCGATAATGTGCACCGTGGTCTTCCAGCAGCTCGTGTCCACTTCGTCGCCTCCCATATGGAAGTAGTTATCGAAGAAGATTCCCTTGCCCTGCTCCTTACCAGACCATTCGTCCAGCACGCCCTGAATCAGCTCCCAAGTCTTATCGCTGGTGGGATCCAAGGGCTCGAGGCAAGTTTCGCTGGGGCACACTTCCGGATATCCCTTGCACCAAGAAGCCTCGTGGCCGGGGACATCCATCTCGGGCACCACACGCACTCCACGCATGCGAGCGTACTCCACAATCTCCTCAAAGTCCATGGTCGAGTAACGCTCCTGAGGAGTGTACGAACCCTCCCACCACTTGGGGAAAGCCTGGGACTGAGCGGGGTTGGCCTGAGAGTCGGTGATGTGCCAGTGGAGCACATTCAGCTTCGCATAGGTCATGGAATCAATAAGCTTCTTGATGGAAGGAAGCGACTCGAAGTGGCGAGAAGTATCCATCAGAATACCACGGTGGGGGAAACGAGGAGCATCGTTGATCACCCAAGGAGCGTTCTTGATCACATACGTCAGAGTATCCGGATCGAACACAATGAGCTGAGAAAGAGTCTCCAGACCGTGCATAGCACCGAAGGCATTAGCAGCAGTGATAGTAATATCAGATCCGTCCTCGGGAATCTCAAGAGTGTAACTCTCATCGATTCCCAACTGGAGCTCGGCCTTATCCTCCTTCACAGTCACAGTAGCCTGAACAACACCGCTCTCGACAAGAGCAGACTTACGATCGAAAATGAGGTCATAATATCTCTGGAACGCACTGATAAGTTCGTTCGACTGAGCAGGAGTGATGAAACGGAAGTGGTAAGCATCAATGGTGATGGTCTTATCACCGTGTTTATACTCCTTAGGAAGAGGCCAGATAAAGGGCTGGTCAGCACACGAGACCGCCACCAGTAAAGCAGTGAACAATACTAAAGATCGCATACAAAAGATTTTATGAGGTTTTCTTAATATTCTAAAATAACGGGAAATCACAATTATCTGGCGGGATTTCTTTTTCTAATTGTGTCTTCCCCTCCCCTAAAGTCAATGGTGTTTCGATATTCGATTCCCTATTGTGTGTGTTTGTATTTTGCAAAGTGTAGAAAATACTTTTTACAACAAGCAGATAGGGACTTAATTCAAAGACTCATAATACAGTATTAACGCCCCACACTCGACACACCTTCCTGAACCGCCAGCACACTTATTACACAATTCGTGCTCACAAGGCTGAAGTCTTACCTTAGCCTGGGCATTCTTACAGCAACCACAAACCACAAGAGATTCTTCTAACCCTTCGACCGAAGTGCAGGCATTCTCTCCATTGCTTCCACGTATTTGACATTCCGTTTCGAACACATCCTTTGATCCCTTTTTCTTCATTCCCGTATCTGCATCCATTAGGCTATTGTCCTTGTCATAAGTCGAGCGCTCAGAAGGGTAGCGTCCTACATCCATGGTTGTTTTGGATTTCTCTTTTTCACTTGGTAATATTGCTAAATCTGAATCGCCCTCTAAGGGAGTTTGCAAATGTGATGAATGTAGAGGAGTTGTAATAACTGGAGTTTGAGATGAGTGTTGAAGGTGATTATTTCCTAGCTTTTGATGTATTGGATTGAGTGGAGATACGGTAGGTTGAGTTTCTTTGTCTTTGTAGCCAATGTGAGGACAATCAGAGGTTGTAGATCTACCCACATCAAAATAACAATGGAAATTGACGAATGAGGCTCTGCTGCTTTCCGAGATTCCCTGGATGCGGTCTTGGCAGTACTAGAGACAGCGTTTTTCTTTGGATCTGTAGATTGGTCAGGAAGGATAGAGGATGAAGAGGACAGATTTTGATTATCCTGGAAGCTACATTCCGGAACAGAGATCGTATAGTCTATATTACAGAAATAGGATGGAAAGAACATAGGACAATAAGGAAGGGAACAATAGCTTCTCCGTATTGAAAATACTGTAAGGCTCTAAAGTGATTTCTTATAAATTCGTTATCCGATTGGAGAAAATAGGTTTCCGGTATTCGATTTCCAATGACTCCAATAACAGCTAGTGAAGCAAAATTCAACAAATAGAAAGCCAGAACAACACGTCTACATAAAAGATTTTAGCGTGAAACAAGCACAAATGACAAGTAGCGAATGTAAGAAACGAAACCGTCATTACGGCAAAAATAAGATCCACCAGTGACATAAAGGTGCGGATCTACTGGAAAAAAAGAAGATAGACTTCTACTACTAGCCAGAGAGAAGGAACTTCAGAAAGGAAGCTGGATCGAGATGTGAATATCTGGTACAATGGTATTATAGTGTATAATCCGGATACCACAAAGACCATTGTCAATACCAGTAAATAGCTCCTTCAAATCAGAACACAGACTCATTCATACACACTCAACATAAAGATGAGAGGAAGTAAAACAATTTAGAAGAATGCTACATAACTCCCATTTTGATGCAAATATCGCATTCTTTGTTTTGGATAGGAAATATGGCTCGTTTTCTGATTCAGATTTATCGATCTAGTCAATTTCCTTTACAAGGGTTTATTGAACAAACAGAGGGATTTAGAAATAAAAGAGTATCAAAAAACTTTATTTGGAACAAGAATCAATTTGTAAATGGCAGAAGGCTGTGGATCATGGATATTTAGCATTTTATCACAGAGAACTATATATTGTGTGTGATAAATCCATGGTTTCATTCATATATTAAGAGTTTAGCCAATTTGACCGATAACAATTTCATCTAATTCTTGCTTACGTTGACAAATGAATAGGAGAGACGGTAGTTATACGAGTTATAGAAGTGAAGAGATTACAAATTTTGATGCGCAGGGAGCTAACTATGATTTACGCAAGTGTTGGGAGTTGAACATATCTGAGCAATTTCCAATAGCATCGACTGAACTAAAAAACAGAAAAGCAATAGCCAAAGTGGATTATCCACATTCTGGCTATTACATTGTATCGTATATGTCGAATGGAAAACTGAATGGAAAGGCGGATATCTACTCTGATAAGAATGTAATTGTAGCTTCTTTAGAATATGTAAATGGGAGAGCAAACGGGCCATGTACGTTATATGATGAAATGGGTAGAATATTCTTTAAAGGATATCTTCAAAACGGAATGCGCCAATGGAGAGGAAGAGAGTACGATTGTGAAGGAAACGAAGTATTTGACGGTTTTTTCGAAAAGGGAAGGAAACTAGAATTAATTAAGATAGAACGAGACAATATATATTGGAAAAGATTGAACAAAAACAATACTGTCAAAAGTATTTGTGAAAGAGATGAGCATGGAATGAAAAAGGGAATATGCTACTTTTACAACAACGGGAAGATTAGTCGAATTAGTGAATGGAAGAATGGAGAAGAGATTCGTTTAATCAAAGAATTTAAAGACACCGAAATGATTGAGTATGACGACACACAAAGTAAAGTGAAATATATTGGAGAGTATTTGGATTCTTTTGAACTGAATTATCCTCGTGAGGGATATGGAATAGAATATGATATTAATACAAGAAGTATCGTGTACCAAGGCTACTTTTTCGATAATCAACGTCATGGCAGAGGGAGATCATTATACAAGGGAAGGATACAATATGATGGTATCTGGAATAATGGACTGGAAGAATGGCAGTATGACTTTTATAACACTTTTAAACTTCTAATTTTCATCTTTATATTTTTAAAGGTATTTGCAGAAGTTTCATTTTTACACAGAGTGTTGTTAATACTGTACTATTGCAAAAGAAGTGGGCTTTTGTTTCATCCGCAATATGGATTCAAACAATTGGTTGTTCATGATAAGAAATCCTTAGATCAATTTGATGTTAGAGTTTCTGATTTGGAAGTTGTATCAGCATCTTGCAATAATGTAAATCAAATAGATATACATAATATGATACAATTGAAATCAATAGATATTGGGGATGAATGTTTTCAGAGCATGATATCTTTTCAGCTTGATTGTCAAGAAGGAGGTATATATGGCATGATCTTTGGATATTATTGGTTAATGGATAAAGAATATTGTGGTCCTTTTGTAGTAGTATTATTGTTTTGTCACATCATAAGATATATTATTTTCACCAAATTACGTTTCTTAGTAAATGTATTTATGAAGATACTATATTTTTTCTTAATAGCATTTAACATTCTGGATTATAGTAAACTTGAAGCATTCAAGATTGATGGCTTGATGCGGTTAAAACGCATTAAAATTGGTAAAAATTCGTTCAATCTTCAATCAGTGTTTTCAGTATGTCAGACATCATTATCTAAGAAATCCTTAAAAAAACTTCATAAGAGAGTTGGAAAAACAAAATCATTTCATATAGTAAACTGCTGTAATTTGGAATCAATTGAAATTGGAGAATATAGTTTCTCGGATTATGCTGGTAATTTTGAATTAAAGAATTTACCAAATCTTCAAACGATCAAAATTGGAACAATCGGAAAAGAGTCATATAATTTCTGTTACAGTTCCTTTGAGATTCGAGGTATGTATAGTATTCTGTGTAGTAATAAGTAGACCTTCCAGGTTTGAAATTTATTTCATTAGGAGATAGCGCATTCCGTGATTCAGTATCAGTAACGTTTGAAAGTAATGAGCAATATTGAATGGAGTACCTGAATAGATCTTCCTGTGCTACAGTCGATTGAGCTTGGAAAATATGCTCTTTGGGGGAAAAGTGATACAATACTGGATTCACTATGGAAATTTGGGTGTGAGATATTTGAAGTAGGTGACTATGAGTGGAAGTAACTTTTAAAGACTGCATTTGGTAGCTGTGATAATAGTAGTAATCCTCATAGCGATGACGATGGTACGTTAAACTCACTAACAATGAAAAGTAAGATAATGGGAGCATGAGAGTATAATAATTATAATATAGACCTTCCTCGTTTGCAAAGTATATCTTCTAAAGGCTTTAGTTTTCAGAATGTGAAATTCGTTTCACTAGAGAGTTGGAGAATGAATGTATAGTTCTGATATGATGTAGATATACCCACTCTTCGAAGTGTGAGTTTACCGTATTCTTTTCAGAATATTGTTAGAAAATCAGTCTCACGTATGCTGCACTCTTGTCTCTTTTGAGCCATAGAAGTTTCGTCTTCCCTGTCAAATATCCTGTAATCAGTAGCGATTTTATCCACATCATTCATTTTGGAAATATCGAAATTTGCTTTGTTTCAAAACATAACATATTGGAATCGGTGGGTTACGGTAGTTCAAGAGACCAACTCTCCATTGATTATAGCAACATAATGTCTTAGAAAGGAAACACACAGATAGAGTCGAAAAATGGAGTTTATGATCCATATCTGCTGCAATTGTATGTCTGCAAGACATAGAAGCATTATTCCTATTCTTTTTATTATCATCGCAAGCACACGCCTTTTTTCCGAGATTAAAAGGATCCGTACTTCAGAAAAGCAGGATTTAACGTATCATAAAATCGGCTTCCATTTTGTCGTTCGCCTTTGAATTGTGTTGTAATTCAGAAATCCTTCTTCAAGTCATTGATTCTATTTCATTATAGTCTATTTATTTATTACTGTGATTCTATTTAACACATATAAACAGGAAATACGTGTTCAGAAGAATTATTATTATTGTCCCATTATTAAGGTGTTTTTAGAAAGTAGTTGGGACTAAAGTGTATATATATATTTTATATAGGGAATATCTAACACAGGACACGAGTTTAGACGAGACTTCATTAGAAGCATAACCGATCCTCTATTTTTTGTAGCGTTAATGTAGTAATAGGTTGTACAAGGCAGATCAATCTGTTACCAACAGTCCATTCCATCCCTAATAAAACACTTCGATATATCTATGATATGCATATAAATAAACATTGTAACTGTTTTCTGCATCTAACTGCCCACTCCAAAACTAATCTTTTTAGAATGCGATGGGGAATATATCCTCAATTCTCTCCACTGTATCTTAAGTCATAATCCTAATTTGGAATAAACAAATGGTTCAAACAGGTACATTATTTCTAGAACCTGGAATAGAAGGGTACACATTAAATAGAGATTCAATAGAAAGAAGAAAATTGAATTACTTCAGGAATCTCGCCATAAATCAGATATACAAGGATTGTCTATTTCTACCAAGATTGTTACTATGGCATCACGGAAATATAAATAGACATAGAAATGCCAAAAAATAAGCTATCACTATTACGAGTTGAACAAAAGATTAACACTGCGCATACTAACCTCGCCTGTATGCAAATATAAAGAACTCTGTTACATAGATGTTGCTGGTACACAATGTTAAAAATAACAGAGCTATTAAACGGACCAAGGCATAAAATTATATATATCGAAAAGTATTTTTGTGTAATTATCTGTGAAGACAACAATCAATGATGCCCGAATTTGAAATTGAAAAGGACAATAAAGATGAGGATCCTGCTGGTGTGCTCTTTTATGAAGCAGTGCCTATCTTTACCTGTGCTGCTGTCGCCGAGGACAGTTATTTGAGAAGTATTTGCCATCAAGTAATTTGGTTATCTACTTGCTCAAACTACTGCAACAACATTTACGAGCTGGATTTAAATGAATTCCAGCAGGTACAATCCATCGAGATTGGAGACAATAGTTTTAGATTAGTTGAAACGTTCAGAATTGATGGTCTCCAGAAACTCACCCGCCTCAAAATAGGAAACAATTCATTCACCTTTGTGACACCGGAACACTGGAGAGTGTTGTTCCCAAACGAAGCTTTTTTACAACAGCTGAACAACACGAAGAAGTCATTTCATATATTAAATTGTGAAGAACTGACATGTATCGAAATAGGAATGTTCAGTTTTTCTGATTATGCTGGGCAATTCGAATTGAAAAACCTCCCTGCTTTAGAGTTCATCAAAATTGGCAGTATAGATCATATTGACAACCTGTCATTGAACTTTCATTGCAGTTCATTTTATCTGACTGGTAATTACTGGCAATGTTCTATGACTCTTTTAGATCTACCTGCACTCAAATCATTATATTTAGGAGGAGCAGTTTTTGGGAGATCACTGATTACCAAATTAGAAAGTCTTCGTCCATTTGCAAGAATAATCGTGTAGATCTTCCATTACTAGAAACTATCAAGTTAGGGTATTATGGATTGTATGGTGGCTGGTCTGATTGCTCCTGCAAACTGTATTTGATGGGTGAAATTGCTTGTATTCATTGATAAGTAGATCTGTATAGTCTCAAAACTCTATGTTCCAAAGGATCTAGCTTCAAGTGGCCTCGTGAAGTGAAAATAAAAAGAATGAATATTACTATGTCTGACACTTAGATATTCCAGCTTTAGAGTATGTGGAGTTACCCATTTCATTTATACAGGTTCATCTTTTACAACACGATAGTATGCATTGTTTCATTATTTCATCGATAGATGTTTCTCCCGATTTCGTGAGTCTGATTCATTGCGTATAGCAGACTATTAGTTTTCTTGTTTTCCAAGTCTTCTTTATTATTTTACATTTGTTATTTTCCTATTTATCTGACATCTGTTGTGTGGATAAACATAATCAATAATTGTTTTTTGTATTCACATGTGAAACAAGAAGTGAAATCGGCATAACCATTAGTACTAATAGACTTATGGGTGCGTTCTTCTTGCTGTACGTTTTCCACGAGGAATGTCTATGATATTACAATAGCTATTCAATTGGGAACCCCTCATATTTCACAATACATCAATCTATACTTATATCACAGTCTTGTTTGCATTAGTCAGTATCCATCACCAACCAAATCTCATCAAACAGCAAATAATAAAAAGAAATTCCTAATCCCAAACTTACATAATTGTATGATCAATCAGCACTATTGTCAAATGTGGAGTGTGTGATGATGGTTAACTTCTCTAAATACGTTCAATCAGCATACTCTGCTCCCCTATTTTCACTTGAATCCCAAATCAAGTGTTCTATTCTATCCATTAACTAGCTCACAACCCAAGTTGGTTCATTTTGCTACATTGTTATGCACTGAATCTAGTCGCTCCATCTTAAAGCACACATCGAATGTTTGAACATATTAATCAACATCCATACACCTCACAAATCACTCGTTGATCCAATCCAATCCAATCTCATCCCATCCAAGCTGTTGCCCATTTTCATTGCTATCAAAAATACAATCTGATTTGAACAAAAACAACAATCAGTACGAACTTTCTTTACCCCCGTTGACCCAAAACCACCACTACCCCTGCTCGTTTCATCCAGACTCTCCACTCCCACAATGGGAGCCATACAGATTCGCTCCAACACAAGCTGAGCTACACGATCTCCCTTCTTCACTACAAACAACGCAATAACTCGACAATACCTTCGAAATCCTCGTCTCCAAAATTGAACAGTACGATTCCCAGAGGACCACGGTAGTCACAGTCCACAACGCCTGCACCCACGTCAATGAACTTCTTAAGGGCTAGGCCTGAACGCGGAGCTACAAAATAGAATAGGGAAGAGCACTTCATACCAACACGACCATAACAATTCGGAGGAATAGCCACAGACAGATCCGTCGGAATCAGAGCCTTCCCACGTGCTTTTACTGTCACATCGGCAGCACTATAGGATCCAACTGATCAAAACAAGCATTACCTAAACAAATCATATCCAGCTGCATGAACCGATCCCCGTACAGGAATTGTGGCATTTTCGCTAAGTTTCTTCACATACAAAATCTCTTCCTGCATTGAATCTATTATTAACCTATCAATGTTTGTGTTGTGAAATGTTCGAAGTGGGTTTATATGAATCTGGAAGTGTATCAATGGTAATAAATGAAATCCAGACTCATCTCCCGTCCCAATTCGCTTGCCATAAAAAAGACAAAGATAGCAGTCTATCCAACAAACAGTCCATCCCTGATTAAGCTCTTGTAATGGTGAACTGGAACTTGATATCATCGATCTCATCCTCGTCGGTCTTGATCACAACTTCAGAGGCGGGCACGTCACGCGAATTGAAGAGCTCGCAGTCCAACCGCTCTCGAATCGAATCGCTGTGCTTCTGAATCGCCTTCATCACGCTGCCCTCCTCTCCCTCCTTCTGGAAGTAGAACACCTTAATGCGGTCGCTGGGGACCAGTCCGGCCGCCTTTCGCATCTTCTGCACGCGGTTGATGAACTCGCGCGCGATGCCCAGCGCCAGAATCTCCTCGTCCTGCGTGGTGTCGATCGCCACGATGAACGAATGGTCCTCCACCACGCCTCCCTCGAACTGCGGGCTCTCGCAGCGGAACTCGCGCTTTACGACCAGCTCCTCCTCGCTCAGCTCGAACCCAGCCACGGTCAGCTTGTGCTCCTGCTCGAGCTTCTTCACGTCTTCCGCCGTACACTGCGCCAGCGCCTGCGTCACCGCCTTGAAGTTCTTGCCCAGACGGCGGCCCAGCACGCTGAACTCGGGCGAGATGCTGCACTGGCACCAGCTGGCCTCGCTGGTCTCGTAGCGCACTTCGAGGCAGTTCAGCTCCTCCATTAAGTAGTTCTCGAGCGACTTGATGTCGCTGAGGACCTCGGGATCGGAGGACGCGATGACGATGCTGCGCACGGGACGCTTCAAGGAGATGGTCTTTCGCTCGCGGAGCACGCGGCCCATCTCGATCGCCATCATCAGGCGACGCATCTGGCGACGAATCACGGGGTCGTCGCAGCAGGCGAACACGTCGGTCTCCGGGAGCATGACGTAGTGGATGGACTCCGAACGACCCACGGAGTCGATCGGGACGTCGGGGTTGTTGAGATTCTAGGGAATGAGGGGCGAGTGAATAAAGGAACAGGATGGATTCTGCGGAGATTCTGATAGAGATACTCGGTGAAGAAGGGCGTGAAGGGCGACATTAAGCGGCAGAGCGTCAGCAAGCACTCGTACAGAACCGACAGCGACACGAACGCCTCCTCCGTGTTTCCGCCCACACACTTGCAGCGACCGCGATTCAGACGCACGTAGCCGTTCGTGAGCAGGTTGATGAAGTCCACGAGGCGAGGCACCACCGTGTACAGACGGTACGCCTCCATTTCTTGACGAACGAAGCAGATGAGCTCCTGCGTGGTGGCCTACCCGTCATCCATTGCGGCGAACAACGCACGAGCAGCCAGCGATCCATCACGTTGGTGCTGGACAGCGCCTTTTCCTGCGAAGGACGGAACGGTTCGCCGGTCTTCGTCTCCCAGTACTTGATGTTCTGCAGCAGGAAGCGGTACGCGTTGTACCAGGGAATGAACACGTCCTTCAGCACGCCGTGGACGCCCGATTCCTTGAAGCGGAGCGGCTCCGCGCGCACCACGGGCGAGTTGATGAGGTACAGACGCACGGAATCCGCACCGTATTTATCGATGATGGTCTGGGGATCGGGGTAGTTCTTCAGACGCTTGCTCATCTTCTTTCCGTCCTCGGCGAGCACCAGGCCGTTCACGATGACGTTCTTCCAGGCGGGCTTGTCGAACAGCGCCGTGGAGAGCACCATCAGCGTGTAGAACCAGCCGCGCGTCTGATCGAGACCTTCCGCGATGAACTGCGCAGGGAAGTTCGCCTCTACGAGTGACTCCATCCGGCCGGCGGAGCGTACCGAAGACTTCCTTGTTCTCGAAGGGATAGTGCTGCTGAGCGTAGGGCATGGATCCCGACTCGAACCAGCAATCGAACACTTCCGGCACGCGGTGCAGCATGCCCTTTCCCTTCTTGCTGGGGATCAAAATCGGATCGATGTTCTCGCGATGCAGGTCGGTGACTTTCTGGCCCGAGAGCTCCTCCAGCTCCTTGATCGACCCCACCGCGATCATTTCCTCTCCGTCGTCGCTCACCCAGATCGGTAGCGGCGTTCCCCAGTAGCGGTTTCGCGAGATGTTCCAATCGCGCGCGTCGCGGAGCCAGTTGTGGAAGCGCTTCTCCTTCACGAACGAGGGCACCCAGTAGGTCTGCTCGTTGTTCTTCAGCAGACGGTCCTTGATCTCCGTCACCTTCACGAACCAGGACGTGATCGCGCGGTAGATCAGCGGAGTGTCCGAGCGCCAGCAGAACGGATAGCTGTGCTTGATCGACGCCTTCTGCACCAAGCGGCCCTCCGCCTTGAGGCGATTCATGATGTCGTTATCGCACTCCTTCACATGGCGACCCTGATAATCGGGGACATGCTCGTCGAAGCAGCCATTCAGATCCACAGGGCAGGGCACGCTGCCGCCCACTTCCACGATGTGGTTCGCCAGACCCACTCGGTAATCGTCCTCTCCGAAGCCGGGAGCGCAGTGCACGATGCCCGTACCGCTGTCGTTGGTGACGTAGGTGTCCGCTACAATGCGGAACGCGCCGGGCCAATCCGCGAAATAGGGGAACAGGGGCACGTAGCGACGATTCACCAGGTCGGTTCCCACGCACTTCTCCACGATCTCAAACTCGCCTCCCTTATATCCCTTCTTCAGCATCTTGGGGTACAGAGCGCTCAATCGGCACTCGGCCAGCCAATAGAAACGACCCGTAGCGAGGTCCTTGACCTTCACGTACTCAAACTCGGGATGGACCGTCAGCGCCATGTTGGAAGGAAGGGTCCAAGGCGTGGTCGTCCAGGCCAGATAGTACACGTCTACACATCACGATGCCCCAAGAAAGCGACTCTCCTCATCGGTCGACGAGAAAGCGATGATGATTGCAGGATCGGAAACCTCCTTGTAGTTCTGACCAGCCTCGAAGTTCGACAGAGGCGTCGTCAGAGCGGTACTGAACGGCATCACACGGTAGCCGCGGTAGACCAGACCCTTGTCCCAAAGGCTCTTGAAAGCCCACCACTCCGATTCCATGTACCACGGCTCGAGGGTGCGGTAACCGTTCTTGAAGTCGATCCAACGGCCGAGGCGGTTCACAATCGCTTCCCATTCCTTGCAGTAACGAGAAACGATGCCTCTGCATTCAGCGTTATACCTAGAAGGTAACGTAGAAATGGCCAAACTGCCTACTTAGCAATACCCATCTTCTCAACGTCCTGGGAACACGTAATGCCGAGCTTTTTATCAATCTCGGACTCCACGGGGAGGCCGTGAGTATCCCATCCGAATCTGCGAACAACGTAATGTCCCGTCTGATGGGCGAAACGCGTAACGATATCTTTAATAGTTCCAGCCAAAATATGTCCATAGTGAGGGAGACCGGTGGCAAATGGGGGACCATCGTAAAAAGTAAAACTCGGTCTTCCTTCAGACAGCTTCAACGAAGTCTTGAAAGCGTCGATCTCGTTCCAATATTTCAGGACCTCTTCTTCAGCTTTAGGAAAGCTCAGGTTATCAGGAGCAGGCTGTAACTCAGATGACTTTACTTCCATTCCAATTCACAGAATTATGAAAAAACCGTGACGAAATTCTGGGGGTTTTTGACTCCGAAAAAATGGACTATTTTGGCAACGAGCGATTTGCTGGTTGCTTCTTACCAATGCATAGCACAGAATTCAGCGAGTAGACACACTATTTTAATTCGTTGCTTATTATCATACTTTTTCAAGATCGTTTCCTCATATTCCATGTTTGCCTGGAGGGGGATACGGACTCTATCGTCCATTCGTTGGAAAGAATGGCGCATTGCCCCGATTCCTTTGTTTGTAAGGCCTTTTGCCATTTCCGGAAAGAAACGCAATTTTATCACGTCAGAAGCAGTGGAAATGGGGCAACTGACACCAGCACTGCAGCAATACTTTAAACTCAAAGAACAATACAAGGGTTGTTGTTTTCTCGCTAAATTAGGAATAGAGTATGTATTGTTTTTTCGTGTTGGAGACTTTTATGAATTCTTTTTCAACGATGCGATCACCATGTCTCAAGTCCTTGGAATCGCGTTAACCACTCGAGGAAAATACAAGGGTGTGTATTAAATCACTTACTCAATGTGTAGATCACGATATTCCGCTTTGTGGAATCCCCTACTTTGCAATCGACAATTACTTGAAAAAAGTGATTCGAAAAGGTCTCAAAGTGGCAATCTGTGAACAAACAGAGGTTTGCTTTGGAATATATCTCAACCTGCAGACTCCTTCCGAAGCCAAATCGCGTGGCAAGCGAAAAAGCCCTGTCCTGGAACGTTCCGTGGTTCGCCTGATCTCTGCAGGTACTCTGGTCGAAGATGCCTTTCTCAGTCCTCGCCAAAGCAACTTTCTCTGTGCTTTGTCCTCCACACGCGACAATTCTCACTTCGGCTTTTCGGTTATCGATATCAGCACTGGAGAATACGCCGTCCACAACGTCGATTCATCGCAACTAGCCAGTCTATTCGCTCGATACGACCCACGCGAGATTCTGCTCTCCCATGCGCTCCAATCCAATCCTCCTTCAGCGCTCGCCAGCTTTCTCGCTTCCGATTCAGTCAACGAAACGCGCTGTATGGTGACAGTGCTCGACGACACTGCGTGGGAAAGCGGCGAGCTGCAGACTCTGATCGACACGCACTCCGAGCTAGCTGCGCTTTCCCAGCCATTCCGGGAGCATTTGTTCTCGGAGATGGAGCTGGATGCTCTCCATGCGCTGCTCCAATACATCAACACCACGCAGATGGGAGCATTTCCACGACTGTTCTGCTTGGAAGGAGAAGAAGAAGAGGATCAGCGGAGTTTGGAGCTGGATCGAAGCACGCGCGACTCGCTGAATCTGACGCGAGGAAGTCGAGACACGCTCACTGGGAGCGTTTTGAATGTATGGCAACGTGGGAATGCTAAGCGACAGACGATCGATCGCACCGTGACGGTGATGGGAAGCCGTCTGCTCAGCAATCGGCTTTCCAGTCCGCTAACACAGCCAAAGGAGATCAATCATCGTCTTGACGTTGCGACGGCTTTCCGCATTGAGTCGTAGACGCTTTCGTATTTCATTCAAAACCCTCAAGTCACGACGATGCTTCTTCCTCTTCTAAAATCGCTGGGAGACTCGGAGCGATCGTTCCAACGTTTAGTTCTCAAGCGCGGATCGCCGCAGGATCTCGGCGTTATTCGCGACATGCTTCGAACCACGCAGGCGATTTACGAAGCGATTCATTCCTCCTTCTCCACGTCGAGCAACCCCTTTTTCCTGCGAGTTCTCGATACATTCGAAAAAGCAGGCCAAACCTCGCTCTTATCGGTTTTATCGAAGGCTCTCACCGAGGTTTTATTTACTTTCGCAGCGTCTTCCTCCCTAGTCGCTTCCATTTTCTCTCTCCGACGGCGGCTTCATCGCACCTGGCTACTCCGCCGAACTCGATCACTGGCGCTCGATCGAATCCTCCAACGCGTCTCTTCTCTCCGAGATGCAAGCCAAATACATTTCTCTCACAAACAACGCCAAACTCAAAGTCAAGTGGACCGAATCGCTCGGCTTCTTCGTGGAAGTTCCCAACTCCACTCCGCTCGATCGCTCGCTTTTCCTTCCCTGCCAGACTCTCAAAAGCCACCTTCGCTACAAAACCGCCGAGCTCGTCGAGCTGGACAACAAGCGATTCGGAGCCTGCGAGAAAGTGAAAAAGCTGGAGGTTCGTGGCTCGGTTGACTCGCTCTCATCCTAGCTTTCTTTTTTCAACGAGCTCAAAACGCTTGTCGAGAACGAGGGCCTGCTTCTCACGCAGTGCAACGCGCTGCTGAGTATTCTCGATGTCAACTGCGGATTGTCGCGCGTCTGCGCGGATTTCGGCTACGTTCGTCCCACGGTCAACGCTTGTTCCGCTTTTCCTTCTCGCTCTCTCTCATAGCCTCCACGCTTTCGCTCACCGACGTTCGCCATCTCGTCGTGGAAGACATGATGATGAAGCAGAAGCAGGGCAAGACGTTCATCCCCAACTCTCTCCACATGGATTGTTTTACTTTCGTTCCGCGCCTTCCTCGTAGGCCAGCAGGGAATTCGCTCCTGCATCATCACCGGACCGAATATGGGAGGGAAGACCACACTGCTTCGCTCGGTGGCGTTGTGTGTGATTCTAGGGCAAATGGGCTGCTTCATCCCCGCTTCGCGCGGCGAGATCGGAACGGTGGATAAGATTTTTAGTCGTGTTGGGAGTTCCGACGATATTCTGAACAATCGAAGCACGTTTTACTCGGAAATTAGCGAAACGGCTTCGATTCTTCGCAATGGTTTCGTTGTTGCTGTTTGTTGAATGCAAGCCACATCGCGTTCGTTGATTCTTGTCGATGAATTGGGGCGAGGAACCAGCGTGGAGGAAGGCGTGGCTATCGCTACCAGCGTTCTCGATTTCATCCACACGAAAATTCAGTGCAAAACGTTGTTCGCGACGCATTATAAGCAGGTTACGGATTTGGTTCGCGTAGAAACGACACGAAAACGTGACGCATAGAAAAACACGCAAATGGCCAACTTCAAAATGGGAGCGATCCCGACAGACTCTTCCCTACTGCTTTCATATAGAATGGAGGCTGGAATTAGTGATCAGAGTTACGGATTGTTCATAGCCAAAATGGCGGGAATTCCGAGGGAGATTTTGGAGAGTGCGGAGAAGATGGTTCAGAAGATGAAGGAGGACGGGAGAGAGATAGAGAAGGCGCTGCAAGAGGTGGACGTGAATCAGTTGACGCCGATTCAAGCAATGCTTTGTTTGAGCGAGTTGAAAGAGATTGCGCAGAAGAGGGATGAAGAGGAGAGAGAGCGATTCGTAGAATCGTTCGCTGTAAAATATGGAAAGAAATAAAAGAGGGTTTGTTAGATAAAAATTGTTTTTAAGGTCTGTTACTCTCTGGATAAAATGGCACTGAGGAAGGTCTTCCTCGTTCTACTGATTTCTGTCCAAGGAGTTCTTGCCTGGTTTAGTTCGAATTGTGGGGGAGTGGTTTATGCCATAGATATTGAACACATGGTCATCGCTCAAATAGCAAAGAACTATGCGAACTCTCTTTCATTTGTTTGTGCTTTTTTCGCTTCATTCATGTAGAACAAGGCGTCTTCTATTATTAAGTTACTCGGAGATAAATACAATGTTTCTCTATCATTTTCAATTCATAGTGTAGAGTACTGCTAATTATCTCGAAGCTGTGCGATATTTGTGGCAGAGTATAGCGTAGGCATGCTGGGCAGACGAGGTAAAGAAGACTGCTGAATACAACTACACTGTCCCTTGGCATTTCACTCGAAGAGGGTATTCGAATGTGCAATTTGGCATCTGCATCCAATCTAGGACTCTACGGCCGCGAAAACTGACGAGCCTGAGGATAGCATCGTAAATCGTCTCCAGTCTCTTTTCACCGAAATCGACCAATCCGATGTCTCCGAAACCTCTGTAACGACTTCTCCTTTCTTCTCCCCTAGTCCTCGCAACTCCGCTTCCTCGTCCATCTCATCGGCGACATTCATCAGCCGCTTCACATTCTCAACTACTTCGACTCCTCCTTTCCCTCCGGCGATCAGAGTACCCTCTCCTCTCCCTTCTCCCCAAGGCGGCAACCTCTTCTTCGTGCGCGAGCCCGGCAAAAACGCGTCGCAAGCGGTCAATCTCCACGCCTGGACGGACGGCTGCGCCGGGTTTTTCTCCGACTGCAAGGAATTGCCCGTCGTAGGCCGCCGGTGGATCCGTTCAGCGTAGAAAGAGGAGCACTACGTGGAGATCCTGAACGAAGCGAGCACGATCGCGCTGCTGTGCGAGGAGTAGGCGATGAATGAAAGCGATGAAGGGAAGCGAGGCGAGCGGAAGCTTCGCGTTTGACCCCGCGGCGTGGGCGGAGGAGTCGTTCGAAGCCGGCGTGGAGATCTATCGGATGGTGAAGCAGGGCGCAGAGCTGACGGAGGAGCAGGTGGAGGAGGTGCAGACGATCCTGAAGAAGCAGATTTGTAAGGCGGGAAAGCGATTGGCGGGGAGTTTTGAGCTGATCTATACGAAGTTCCCGCCGCCGTCGGATTTCTATTTTATCATGATGGTGTTTGTGAGTTTGCTGGGAGTGGTGATTTTGGATGAGGTGTACAATGGAGGGAGCTGCTCGAAACAGAGGTGGGGATGGCGATGGAGGATAATGGGTAGGAGGGAGTATGTGGGGATCGAAAACAACAAGATGAAGAAAGTGAAGTTTAATTTTGGAAACTCGAAGATTTAATGTGTGTTCGTTGACATTTTGTTTGTTTGTTTGTTTGTTTGATGGGAACTGTTCCGGTTGAGTGCTTGTTAGTATTCACTCTATGAGTGGTGCTGGGTTTTAGAGTACAGCTAGGATCGATTTTTAGACGACAATCATTATTACTGGAAAGGGTAATCAACATCACAAGCAATGCTTTCAATCGATAATAGTTCTTGTAATGTGGGGAAAGGTAGAATCCCTATTTTTCAAAGAAATATAGAATAGAAAATAATTGGAGAATAAAGACTATCCTCAAAGGAGAGGGAAGGAAGGGGGGGATGAAGAAAATGGGCAGTGTGATCTCTCATTCTACCTCAGTACTTCAGCTACTTACTAAAAACAAACAAGGAACACTTTAGAAGGTGTGACATTTCAGAAGGGAATCACATTGGGATCACATCTCCAGGCTTTCCAATAAAATTCTGGCACTTCGGGCAGTAATGTTTTCTACAATGTACACTACAAACAACGGCTACGTTTTGAAGCTCTTCCAAACAATAAATCCAGCCATGAAAAAGAAAAGGCCAAAGAAAATGACAGGGAACAGAGAAAACAGAAGATCACTTTCCGTATGGCTCATAACCAAAGGTATTAGTATCATGGCAACAAAGAAGAAGCAAAAGAAAGGAACTCTAAAGATCAAAACAATCCAATCAACTAGCACATTCCCCACCATAAGGAACCACCCGTGGTACGAGTTAAGATATACTCGTGACAAAATGGACAAACAACTCTCGTAGGGCTACAAGTGACGAGCTAATTCAGTATGTACGCTGCACTAAGCTTTGGCTGTCGCATAAGGTACACTCTATTTGACCGAGAGGAGTCAAATCCGTTGTAAGTAACGTCTACATAATTGTTTGAGGGAATGTAAGAGTAAGTCGCTCCGTTCGAATAGGGAGCAGCAGTGGGCATCTGGTTTCCAACAGGCTGAGCAAAAGGAATCTGACTATTCACCGGAATGGACTTTGTTGGTTGAGTCCCTGAAGAAACGCCAGATTGAGACAGAGGGTTCGGATTTTGGCTAGGAACATTCACATAGTTAGGTTCCGGGACAAACTGATTTGCTGTATTCGTAAAATTTGATTGAGCTTGTTGTCCCTCGTAGGTTCTTGGTTGGCTTGTAGCGTAATTCTAGAGGTAATTTATGTGCGTAAAAATACATGAAGTTCGACATAAGGCTGATTAACCGTGTTTGGAATGTTAGAATAGGGAACGTAATACTAAATTGGAATGAAAACAAAAATATACATTCCCGCTCCCATAGTTTACATCATTCGGAATCATAATACTTTTTTGAATAGATTCAGTATGTGTTATTTCCAAAAATAGTCCTTATATTTGACTCTTTCAAATCTTAAAAACGAATATCACAGTGAATGGAGGATGTTTTGTTGGTGTGCTGTAATGGGATCAATGTTTTTTAGGACAAAGAGTGGGTATAAGAGTACGAAGTGTTTAGAATCAGTAATTAGTCTTTAATGTGTATACTAATAGTAGGTTACAGCTGTAGTACAAGTAGGCATAAAATATGTAGGGTTTGCAAAAGGAGAACTTGATCTAAGGTAATAGGAAGCTGAAATAGAGTGGTCATCTGTATACTGGTATAGTTTGCGATTCAATACGCAATAAGTAAATCGAAATATCGAATTCTTATGTCATTCTTTTCCATTCTCGAAAACCGAATCAACAGCATATTTTAGAAATAGTCGACTATAAAACATAGTATGTCCACGTAATAGTCACAATTGAATCGTTAAATTCGAATGGTTTTTCACATGTAACACATTTCTTCTTTCATTACTCAAGCAAGCTCAATACTTTCATTTTAGCTCTTCAATTCTGTTTTATATCATTCTTAATATCGTTCGCACAAGAGAATGGAATATGCTAGCTAAATCGATCGAGCTGTAATGATGGCAAAGAATCAGTCGATGATTGGATTTATAATCAATGAATGATACTAAAGGGTTTGGAACAAACATAGTCAGCATTGAATAAAATGTGTATAGATCCAATACTCTTTTATGACTACACATATTTGAAATGATCAGCGAGAATGGAGGACACATCAGCTACGAATCAAATCAAATCAATCAAACTATACTCGATATTGATTTCGATTTAACTTCAAAGAATGCATGTGGTAGATTAACTCTTTGAAGATTTGGAATGTCTAAATACAGTCAAAGCTCCATAGTTATAACTACTTTTCAATATCACTACACCAGGACCATAGAAACTACTTTCTACGGAAGTTATTGATTTTAGATTTGGAAGATCTACAAAGCAAATCATTTTGAATCATTTCATTTTTACTTCGCATAAGCAATAAACATGATTCACCAATTCTTCCACACAGCGCAAAATAACCGAGTTGAATGGATTTCAATGATGGAAGATCTATATCAATCATCTCATTCAAATTTATAAGATACCTTTTATTATTGTTGAGAAGGAATCACGGAATGCTACATCACCTAATGTAATGGATCGTAGATTTGGAAGATCTATGCATTCAGATATCCAACATCATATCAATACCTTCAATCACAAATGAACTAGAATAGAAATTCCATGACCTACTTCCAATTGTACCAATTTGAATGGATAGTAATTGTGGTAGATTCTTCAATTCAAAGTCTCCAGCAAAATCACTGAAACTCCATTCACCAATTTGAATGGATTTCAATGATTCACAATTCAATATGTGGAATGATTTCGATTCATCATAATAACCTCTCCAATCAGTCTTTTTCTGAGTAAATGAGTTCTTGCCGATTTGAATAGTTTTCAGTCGCTTTAATCCATCGATTTTGAATGTTTTCACATATTCAAAACAATCATTGCCGATAGTGATTGATTCCAGGCATTTGAATTTGTTCAGACCCAATTTATTCAATTCATTACAACTATTTGAACATATCACCAATTCCATCACTTTCAGATCTATATCATTCAATTCAGAACTATTGTGGACTTCAATTCGTTTGGGAGGCACATTTACAATTGGTTCAGTTTTCATTTCACATGGTTTTTCATTCTTCAATATGCTTCGAATACTTTCATTCATTCCTTTCACATACCAACCTCCATACAAATCGATTCCACCCTTCTTCTCTAAACCATGTTCCCATTCACTTTCTCGAATTGCTGTTCCACTAGCTTCATCAATCAAATATCCCAACCCATTTCGTACAAATTTACCATTTACAATACTATATCCTCCTATATAAATTGGAATTCGATTCAGTATTTCCACATTTCCATTCTCATCATTGTTTTCAACATATTCGATCATTTGGTTATTATCAGCATCAAATTCACGAATCATTCGAATCAGTTTGTCTTTCAACCAATATCCTTCAATCTTCTCTTTACCACTCTCTATATCAAATGCAATTCCATAACCATCTCGATTCATGTCCTCATCAAATCCACCTCGATAGATCAATCGATCACCCTCATCATTCTCACACTTACATCGAATTGTCAGTATCAATCCTTTTTTACTATTTTCGATTCTTCTTCGATCTCCATCATTTCCAACAATCGAATCCCAGTTTTCTTTTTGTAATGCTTTACCATTCTTATATTCAGTTATTCCACCTATTCGCTTTCCATTTTTCATCATCCATGCAAGACTCAAGATTCCACGATTAAATAATTGGCAACGACCTTCAACTTTACCATCTTTCATCTCACTTAGCAAATACTCGTTTGAATGATCTCCTTGATATAGAGTTATTTCATATTCGACTCCATTTATCGAAATCTTCTTCTTTTCCCCAGTAATGTACTCGCTGAGAAAACACTTCGATTCTCTAGTTTTGATGGACGAATCTGTATTATTATGATATTTATATATGTATGTACTATTAAAATTGTTTACCATACTACTGAAAATACTGTTTTTCTTACTTAGCTGTTTATTATGTCATTATACATCTATTTTAGTTTTATATTCAAACTAATTTTTGATAATAATCGATTTTGGTCAATCTGGTACAAGCATGTGTTCCTGTTACGTACCAACTCCACATATAATCCTAGAATATTCGTATTTCCATTAGAACAATGGAGTATAGAAGATATCATATGATGAATAACTTGATTTGTGTGCATCATACATTTCGTTGCTAAACGATTAGAAAAGTGTCGATGGAAGGGTACTCAATATCAACGTGGTACCTTCATAATGTTTGCACTTTAACAAAGCAAATAGCTGTATTCGTTTTCATCTTCTTGTGTGGTTTCCCTATTTGGCTTTATTCATGTTTGCTCATATAATAATATAGCAAGTTCAACGATTGCAATGCTACCACAACTATAAACCTACACATATGGATCTGCTACTTTATGGAGAGTGTTTTCCAAATTCTTTTTATTAAACACTCTCCTAAACACGCCATTATGAGTACTAAACACTTCACTTCTATGAATAATTTCATTTAGGAAGAGAGTAGTTGGCTCTACAATCGATGTACACAACTGATGGCTTTTCCCACTCTCACCATGTACTATTCTTTACAACTATCGGCCCCCAAAACAAAAAATATGATTTTATACAAAAACCACAAAATGCACAATGAATTACAACCTATCTACAACTCAACTTCAAACTCTTCTTCTTCCTCCTCTTTTTGTCCATCCGGTAAATAACAAAAATCCTTAGTATGTCCCCATTCTCCCGTTTCCGTGCAAAAACGTCCAATATAACCTTTATAAGACCCAGGACATGGAATATATGCATACTGCCCTGCTGGAGTCTCTTTCCAAGTCTCATCTCCCTTACATTCTACATTATCAAGCAACCATACGAACATACTGCACATGTTGACAAGGGAACTCCAGTGAGCCATTACTCCAGTCGGAGTTTTCTTTCCTAAACAAATACGTCTATAGTAGCCAGTTCCATTACAGTAATAAAGCACACTTTCTCCCACGCTTTTTGAGGGCCACAAATGTCCGTCAATTTCCACCTCGGGACATTTCTGCTTTGTAGCTTTTTCGGTTCTCGCGAATACCACTAGAATGCAAAGAAGTAATAATTGTAAAATATGCATCTTAGTGGATATCAATAGAGATATATTTAAGAAAACTGCCCAACCAAAATAATCTTAAATTCGATACTCATCTTTTTATGCGTTGTTATTCTATGCATTGCTTTAGAGTCAATGGGGATATTGAAAGCGAAGAAGGATAAACTCGTGTGACAGTTCTTAAAAAGATGGTTTTCTCTTTGTATCTCCTTTCAGCATTCTTTCTATTTCATGTCGCAACATGCTCGTACAGCGAAGAAGAAACATTACGAATGTGGAGACTGAATTCCCTATCTTACTGCAACAACGAAACGCTGCAAGTCAATTCCCTAAATTTGGTGATATAAGTAGAATCTATCTTGTGAAGATTGTCGTCAGTTTCGAGACAATCTGACCGAGGTGACCGTTATTGAGAATACAGCGATTGATCTATATGGATTTGTGGGACTCTGGGGAAAGAATAGGGGTACCATCACCGTTCTCCATACAATCTAGTGATTGTAGTGTTCCGTGCTTCAGAGGGTACTATCAACTACATTGAGAACATTTCTTCCGCTTCCCTTTCTCCCTTCAATGTGTGTAAGGATTGCATGGCATCTGGCATCTACCTCGCAATGTATTCGATGGTTCGAACCGATGTAATATTCTATTTCTTTTCTCAATAGGTTATTTCTGCAATTGCTCGATTACTTTTGAAATATGATATTTCACATATCCAGCTAACAGGGCATTCCCTGGGAGCTGTCTTTGCTACCTATGTGGCGACTGACCTCATTTCCCAGGTCAACCATTATGATCTCACAGAATATTTAAAATATCCGTATAAGTATAACCTCTCTGTTCCGATTTTGGACCAATGCCACACCATTCGTAATCACATACGAATTAGGGATATTTACACTTTTGGAATGCCAAGAATTGGAAATACAGCGTTAGCAGAATATATAGCAAAGCACATACGTTTTCCTCCACACGAAGCCTTGATCCATAGCTAATTTTTATCGTATCACTCAAGGAGAAGATTTAATTCCCCTCCTGCCCCCCAGTTTTATGAACTTCGTTCACACAGGAAATGAGGTACTTTAAAGGATTCCATCTGAGAAACAGTACTGGTATCCCCCGGAGAGCAGGGATTACCGCATTTGCGAGTTTCCGGAAAGTGCGGATTGCATCAATTCCTTAAAAGTGCACTCCATTGAAGACCACAGCATATTCTTGGGAGAAGCGAAAGGACATTGTAACAGAAAGGATTGATCATTTTTTGTTGAATACAGTCGGATTTTTTCCGCGGTTATAATCCAAACGTTATTCTCTCAAAAATTGTTTTCGATGGAAGATCTTGTTATTTGTGTTGTTGGTTTAGGTTATGTAGGTATCCCTATGGCTGTTGCCTTCGCCGAAAAGGGAGTGAGAGTCATCGGTTTCGATATTTCAAAGCCCAAGGTGGAGGCCTATATCAATGGGTATGATCCCACACAGGAGGTTGGCAGTGAGAGATTGCTGAAAGCTCTCAAGGGAGGTTTACTCTCTATCACTAGCGAATTAGAGGATATCCGTGCTGCCAACTTCTATATTGTAGCTGTTCCTACCCCTGTGAACGAGGACCGTTCTCCTGATGTGGGTCCTGTTCGTGGTGCTTCTGAAACAATCGGAAAGGTGCTGAGCAAGGGCGACTATGTCGTTTTTGAGTCCACTGTGTACCCAGGCTTGACTGAGGAGCTGTGTATTCCTATTATTGAGAAGCTGTCTGGTTTGAAGTACAAGGAAGAGTGGAAGCTGGGATATTCGCCTGAACGAATCAACCCGGGTGACAAGGTCCATACCTTCCGCACCATCAAGAAGATTGTGTCTGGTTGTGACGCGGAATCCCTCGAAAAGATCGCTTCCGTTTACGAGATGGTGGTGGAGCCCGGCGTCCACCGCGCCACCTCGATCGCTGTGGCTGAGGCCGCCAAGGTAATCGAGAACTCGCAACGTGATATCAACATTGCTTTTATGAACGAGTTGGCGATTATCTTCGACAAGATGGGCATCGACACCCACGACGTTTTGGAAGCGGCGGGCACGAAGTGGAACTTTTTGCACTTCTTCCCTGGCCTGGTGGGCGGCCATTGCATCGGCGTGGATCCCTACTATCTGACGTACCGTGCTCAGAATCTGGGCTACACGAGCCGCATCATCCAGAACGGCCGTTTGCTGAACGATTCGATGGGCGAATGGATCGCGACGAAGGTGGTGAAGCTGATGGTGCAGCTGGGTTTGGTGGTGCGCGGCGCGCGCGTGTGCGTGATGGGCATCACGTTCAAGGAGAACTGCTGCGATGCGCGCAACAGCAAGGTGTACGACATCATCAAGGAGCTGAAGGAGTACGAGATCGAGGTGGTGTGCTGCGATCCGTGGGCGGTGAAGGACGAAGTGAAGCGATTCTATGGAGTGGACGTGGTGGATCTGAGCGAGGTGAAGGACTGCGACGCCGTGGTGATGGCGGTGGCGCATCGTGAGTTCGCGTCGATGTCGATGAAGGATCTGAGAGCCCTGTTCAAGCCCTCGGTGGCGAAGAAATTGGTCTACGATGTGAAGAGCGTGATCAGCAGAGAGGACGTGCCCGAGGACATGGTGCTGAAGAGACTCTAAACAACGTGCATTGATCGTGTTGTGCGATCTCGATTCTCGTCTAGTATTATGATCTCTCCTTGGCTGTTTGTATATAACAAACACTCCACATTTCTTCTAGCGAGTCTTGCACGGTGCGGCGCACCTGCTTCTTAAACTGGGCGCGGTTGTCGCGGTACTGCTTGGCGGCGTCGATGTTCGCAGGGGAGTTCTCGTTGGGCTCGGAGAGCATGTTTTGTACACTAATCAAAATGGCCTCGACTGACAAAATGGGGCGCCAACGCTCTTCTTGTGTTTCCTATGTCACAGAAGCACAGATGTCGCTACGAATTCGTTAAACATGTCCACTCCAGGAGCGTGGAGAATCGAAATACACACCTTCCCATCTTCGAAAACTACAGATCAGAATTCGAACGCAAAGCGACTATTTGGATGCCACATCTTTGATATAAACTTCATCTCAGGAGGGTTGTTGGGAAAATCGGAGGGGAATGACAATTCCGCTCGAAACAATCCCCCTTCACTAAAAAATGAGCACAATCACATGCACATACTAGTAAGACCCAGTAGGCCCTTCGACAATGACTTCCCAGTTAAAGAGATCGCAATCGTTTTTAAGTCCAACAGATATTCCGGAGGGTGGGTTTTCCGTTAGCTCTAGACCATAAATCGGCGAAAATGTCTTCCACCTTTCAGTTGTCTCATCAAGAGGGTTGAAGCGAATGCTACGTATTAGTGACTTCCCACACAGAAAAACGAACAGGACATATTTTTATCAACCAATGAAGAGAATTGTGAACTGAACGGGTTTTGGATCATTATTCCATTTTTCGTATCTGTTAAGAAAATGAACCGCATGCCATCGGATGTGCTTTTGGAGTTGCGCAAACTCCCCGGGAACGACGTATTGAAACACAGGCTGATTGTTGTGCATAGGTTTGCGCAGATTGTGGAGCTGCCAGACCACAGTGGGCCTCTGTGTCATACGGAATTTTTGTTTGTTTGGAGTGTTCAGGACAACATCGTGGTTTGGGAGTAGGCAAAGACTGAAACTGTGACCGGCAGGTGCATCTGAGCTTCGTACGCTCGGTGCAGATGGATTCCTGGACGGAGCGTGAGATCAAAGCAATGCAGGTCGGAGGAAACAAGCAAATGAACGATTTCCTCCAGGAGCACGGCGTCCCCAAGAACAGTTCCATTAAGAAAAAATACAATTCTCGAGCAGCTGCTCTCTATCGCGAAGTGTACGCTTTTTCCTTTTGATTCACACCAGCATCGCCGCCAAGATCGAAGGCCGCGAGCCCCCGACCGATCTCCCCGAGGATGATTCCAACCCCGAGTTTCCTTTTTTTTCCTCGCCCTAACCCGCAGAGAGCTGAACGAGGAAGACGAGGACCCCATCAAGCGCGAGCTGCGTCTGCGCGCGGAGGCGAAGGAGCGTCTGCAGAAGAAGTTCGGCGCGGGCGGTCTGAAAAGCCAAGCCGTGGGCTCCTCTCCGATCCCTCCCGGCGGCTACGGCCAGCAGCCGAGCAGCCCGCAGCCCGGCGACGAGTACTGCCCTTGCAAATCTTCGATATAGCATCGTGAAGACGCTGCAAGGCTTCGGTCAGGGCGTGATGAAGTCGTTCCAGGACGCGCGGATCGGCGAGACGATCGAGAGCGGCGTGAGCTCGGTGCGCGCGAAGCTGAACGACCCCGCGTTCCAGAAGGACGTGAAGGAGAAGGCGCAGGCGGGCTGGTCGTGGCTGTCCAGCACCGCGGGATCGATTTGGTCCGCGGCGAAGGAGGCCGCCACGCAGATCGCCTCCGAGCTCAACGAGAACAACGCCAATGGCGGAGGAACGCCGCGTCCCGCGGTGAGCACGCCGCGGCGAGACGGAGGGGAGCGCGAGGAACCGCGGGAGGCGGTGAGGTCTCCGAAAACCGCGGGGAAAGCGATGGAAAGAAGGGCGGAGGAGGAAGCGGCGATCGGAGGGTAGGAGGCGAGGAGGAGAGTGAGGAGCAGCGATGGAAAGAGGGAAACGGGGAAGGCGGAGAGTGGAAACAGCGATATCGAAATGGACGATGATGATTGGATGGAGCAGGAACTCCGCAAAGCGAAGCAGAATCTGCACATCCAGGAGAAGCAGCGCACGCCGCAGACGCCGCAGACGCCGCAGACGCCGACTGCGGGGGGATTGAAGCTGTCACATGAGAGTTCGGAGGCCGGAGGAAGCGCGGAGGGAAGCAGACGACGCCATCACAGCCATCACCATAGACATCGGAAACGTGGGGGAGGAGAGAGAGGATGAGACGTAGCGGTGGAAGTAAGCAAGAAGGATCTGGATAGCTGGCTCGATGATGATGATGATGATGATGATGATGATGATGATGATGAGAAAGTTGCTAATGAACCTGCGGAGGAGAAGAAGGAAGTGAAAAAAGCGGCGGAGGATAGTAAGAAGAAGGCGTAGGAGTGGGGGAAAGGGTGAACGATAGACCCATGACGGCGGAAGACTTCTTTGCAGAGTTTGGTGTCTAAGTCGTTGTGTTTGTTCATAAACAGGGCGAAGCACTCGATACTTAATAGGTCTGAGCATCCTTGTTCTTCTTCTCTCCAATCTCAAGGGTCTTGCATCGCTTCAGAGGGCGCTGAGCTCTCATCTTGCACTCCTTGCACTCCAGACGAAGGACCAGCTTCTTGGTCTGCTTGGCCTACAAATCACGCCAAAACGACAACACGCACCTTCTTGTGGAAAATGGGCTTGGTCTGACCTCCATAACCCTTCTGCTTCATATCGTATCGACGCTTTCCTACGTATCACCCTCAAAACTCAACTTCTACCCTGAGGTCTCAGAGAAGCCTTACCGGCCTTGTACTGCGTGACCTTGTGCTCCGTGTGCTTGTTGCACTTCTTGCAGTAGGTTTTCTCAGTCTTGGGTACGTGGACCTGATAGGAGGTTAGTTCTGTCTCCAATGCAATGTGCACACTCTCTCAGGATGCCCTACCATTTCGAGTAAATTCACAGTGCTTCGAAACTAGCAATCGAGCTGTGGTTTGGTCATCTGTTCAGTGTGAGTCTCCTTGATAATCAAGAAATCATCACATTTGGCTGTTTCTACTGCTATCTGCTGTATTGAAATATATATATATATACTCTAGATCTCCCTATGCTTTTAAAACAAAATGCACTCCACACCGTCCTTCGACTCTTTTGTTGTCCCTTCGAGAAATCAAACTCGAGCAACCCATCCCATTCGATCCATACTATTTCAAACAAACAAGCACACAAGCAACCAAGCCTTAGCTTTCATTTTACGCCACAGGCTTCATTCTGAGCATCTGCACTCCATGCACAGGCACTTCCTTGGCGACATAGCTTCCCTCGAACACTCCGAGTTCTTCATGAGCGTACAAATCGCGGATGCTGTACTTCTGCGTCTCTCCGAGAATCGCGAAGTCCAGCGGAATATCGACCACCTTGTCTCCATGGTTGTGAAGAGCCACGGCCACGTCTCCGTTCGCGAGCGGACGAGCCCACACAGAGCGGTTCTCCTCGAAGGGAGTCAAACGGATACCCTGCTTGCCGAGCTTATCCTGATCGACGGCGATGATCTCCTTGTTGCGGAGGATCTTCACGGCCCAATCGGGCAGTTCGCGCAGATCGTTCGACATGATGAGCGGAGAAGCCAGAATGGACCAGATGGCGAAATGCGACTTCGACTCGTCCTCCGTCAACGATCCGCCCTTCAGACCCGCGACGATCATATCCGCATCGTTCCAGTGACCAGGACCCGCGTACTCAGCCCACTTCGTCTCATTACCGAACTTGTCCATGATGCTCTTGATGGACCTCCAGTTGCACTCGATATCGTCCCAGTTGCGCCACAGGTTGCAGTTGGGAGGCAGAGGAGCGTAGTCCATCTCCATATCGTACGCAGGCCACGAGCAAGAGTACACGATCTTGCGACCCGTTTCGTTCAGGAAACGAGTCATAGCGGGGTAGGCATCCGCCTGATCGATCAGCTGAGAGTAGCAGCCGTCCATCTTCAGGTAGTCCACCTCCCATTCGGCGAACGTCTTGGCATCGAGCATCAAGTAACCCTCAGAGCCCATGTAGCCTCCGCAGGTCTTGGTACCGTAGTCGTTGTAGATTCCGAGCTTCACACCCTTGGAATGGGCATAGTCAGCCAGCCACTTGATTCCGTGGGGGAAACGCTCGGGATCAGGGTACAGACGGCCGTTTTCATCACGGTCGTGCGTCATCCAGCAATCATCAATGTTGATCATCTAAACGTGAGGGAATGAATGGCACCAATACGTCATAACCATACTCGAGCCAGCCATCGTCAGCAAGACGGTCGATCATATCCACAAACAGCTGTTCGGAAATACAGTCCTTAGGGTAGTTCTTGCAGTCCACGTTGCAGCGGAACTGCTCCCATTGCATCCAACCCTACAAATGACGCCAAATATCTAAGTTCACCATAGGAGGAGTTAAAGCCAAGCCATTGTCAAGGGAATAAGCCAAAGCAAGAATAGCGAAAAGGATCACTGCCTTCATCGATTACCCAAGTTTACAAAAAGTTTATGACGGAATGCAATTGAGGGTATTTAGGGCATCCAATCAGCAACGAGGAACAATTTTTATCATTTCCATTTTTGGAATTCCGAATGTCCCTGATCCCCTCAAAACGAAACACAAATCTTTCATGGCATTTCGTTCCTTCTAAGGGTGCCTCTTTGCAATATGATGAGGAAGTACAATGCAGTCGATTCAAAATAGAACTGTGTGATTTGCTGCATGTGTGTCAACAAACAAAAAAACACTTAAACTCCGACCTGGATGGAGGAATAAAAGTCTTTAGTGAGCTGCTGGAAGAGAAGCAGCTGTTGGTCGTCCAACGGCCTCAAAAGACGAAGGTCCTGGAGAATATGAATATAGTTTTGATAGGTGGTGCGAAACACTTCATTATGCACAAACTGCAATTCAACGAAACACCGTGTTTTTACCATTGTAGAGTACAAATCAAGCATGAAAAGAACGAAATTCTCGATATCGCAACACTGCGACTCATTCAGACCCACCTTCAAATGTCTCTTTATGTTATTGTAAATCGTATCGTTTGAAGTAACTACCAAAATGAACACGCACAAGCCATCCCTACTCACAATGTCGTAAATCATCTCCTTCCCATCAACGCTATCGAAGTCATAATAATGATAATTCGACTGCAGTCCCTTCAGATCAACCGAACCGCCCACCACGAACAATCGATTGCGATTTCTTTTTGACCGTCGCGATTCGCAGCGCAACCACACATTTCAGCAGCAAATACTACACTAGAGTCCATCCACGCACCGTACATAATCCCAAATCGGAACTTCGCTCTCCATGTTAATCGCTGCCGCAACTCGCTTCACCGCAATGCTCTGCACCCGCTTCACCATCCCAAACGGGTCGTACTTCCCTTCTCGCACGCCTGCCGCCGTGAAGTCATACGGAACGCACGTGTGTCTCGCCTACGTCGCAGCTCCTTCCCATTCCCACCACAATCTCCAGCAATAATGTCAAAAATCGGCTCGATTTCCGCGACTCCACCGTTCCACACAGCGCCAAAATCTCCCCCACAAACGAACACACCTGCGCCAAGCACCCCGCGAAGTACGCCAAATCGACGGTCTCCAGCAAGATGGTTCTACGTTTCACCGTTTCTCCGCGTCCTCACAGCCGGTCCTCCACGTGCTCCAACTGCGGAACATGGATCTGGACCACGGTGAGGAGCTTCATGATGAGTTGGTAGTGCGGAACGGAGAGTCCGTCGGCGGCTTGTTGCATCTGCGCCTTCTGAAGAATGCGCGCGGCGTGTGCAGAGAAAGTGGAAACGGAGGTCGTGGAGGGGAGAGAGGGGTCAGGGGAGAGCGTGAGGGGCTGGGATTTGCGAGGGCAGTAGGGAGTGAGGATGGAGGAAAAGAGAAGGAGAAGGCGGCGGAGCACGACGAGCACGACGAGCGGATCGTTCCCAAAACTGAGCAATGCCGAGTTGAAGCTGCGACTCAGACGATCCGCCATGCGGCACACAATTCGAAGGCGGCCGAATCGTTGTCTCCGAAGGTCACGTGCGCGAGGAAACGCAGCAGACAGGCCTGGAAGGACGCGTAGCACGACGCGGGCATCAGCTGATTGTACGCGTTCAGTCCCGACTGGCAGATCAATTGCAGGTTTTCGATCAGAGATCGGTTCTCGATGCGCGGAGACCGGTCCAGAACCGCGGTTACCAGCTGCACGCACACCTAGGTCGCCAGTTCCGCGATGAAACGCACCTGGATCCGCGATTCCCCCGCGAAACAGTCGAGAAACTCCAGGAAAACGTCTGGGAGTGAAAGAGTGACGGAAACGCTTGCCGTTATCGAAATAGTCCGTAATATTGTCAACCGTGGTGACCAAAATCGACATGATTTTTACCAAATCCGGTTGATTGGTGATCGGGTTTTTCACTTTCTTCATCGATTGGTTCACGTCGTTCACCACGATCAGCACCTCGCGTTTCTACGGTTTCAAGGTTCCACGGTTTCCCCACGGAGTAATGCAGGATCACAAACGGGAGAAACTCGCAGATGAGAGTGAAATAATCGCGGGAATTGCACGAATTGAGGAGTTTCCACAGCGAATTCAGCAGCTCCATATCGCCCCGCTCGCTGATTTCCAGCGAATTCATGCGACGAAGCAGCAATAAAAGCGTCGATTTCCGCTCCTCGTACATCAAATCCATTGTCCCGCGGGAATCCTGGATTTCGGGGGTGAGCGAATTCGACGAATCCGCGAATGAGAAGGAGGGATTGAATTTATTCATCGCCTGGACTTCGGAGGAAACCGAAGCGGGACCCCACAAAAGCGAATCTTTGGGATCCCACCCCGACAATGAAACTCCCGAAGGAGAATCGACTTCGTAGGAATGAATCATTCGATGGATGTATTGGATGATGGTTCGAAAGAATCGATTAAAATAGCTCGAAGGGAGCATGGCGATAATTTCCGTCATTAGAGCGAAACTCCTGGAGAGGAGGGAAAAATCGCGCAGAAGCGACGAAATCGAGCTCGTTGCCGCGTGCTGCAGCGAGACGCCCAACAAATAGTGGAAATTCAATAGAACATGTTTCTGATACTCCATGACAGAATTATACCCGATTTTGTGAATGTCAAAATTCGAGGCTAATTTTTCGTTTTGAAGCCATTTCCCCACAAAGTGACACACCACGTTCGAAAATAACTCTTCCGAAAAGAGCCGCGAGCTCGTAACTTCCTCCATAATATTCACGTTTTTCTCGTTCTTCAAGATTCGTGGAATTCCAAAAATCGGAGGGGATTTGGACGAGGGAGTTTCCACGCAATAGCGGAGGAAATGGGTGAAAAAGGAGATGAAGAACAACTGAATCGTCGCAGGAGAAAACGCTGCGAGAATGGATTCGACCCCCGAACAATAGGAATTCCAATAATCGCGCCGAAATTGATAGAGCAGCGGAAGGAGGCAGCAGCGAGTCATCTGTCTCGGCAGAATATAATGATAGAACCGCGTGGAGCGCCACATGCGATCGACGATCTCTCCGAGAGGACTTCGATCGGGGTGGTTTTCGATCGAATTCTCCCCGTTCGAGGGTTCTACGGTTTGGTGATGCTCTCTCAAGGAGTGTGGTGATTGATGGGAGTGTTGTAAGTGGGGCGACTGTTGTGTTTGTTGTACTTGTTGTGTTTGTTGTGTTTGTTGTGTTTGCTGCTTTGCCCAGGCTTGAAGAGTGGTGAAAAAGGAGTCAAAAGCGCGCGCAATTCGCTGCGTTTCATGCAAAAACCCGATCAAACTTCGAATAAATAGGAGTAGCAGCGGATCGAAGAGGCCTGGTATTGTAGGAGGGTCGCGAGAGTGTAGAGCGGGAAGAGACAGCGATCGAATTCTTCATGACGCAGACGATCGGTGGCGAGCTGCTTGTTAGGGTGGAAGATGAATACCTTCAGCTGTGATGAAATGAAAGAATCGAGAGAAGAACGATTTATGCGGATGATGTTGCGCTTGTGGGGTTTTCGAACCAAAAAGAGGTCATGGGGATTCACTATCGAAAACTGTCTAATCGTTTCTGCGGAGTGAGGATACTGCTTTACAGTATCGTTTGCTAAAATAAAAGAAAGAATCTAGACATACAGACAGAGGTAGGCAAAGAGTACAAAGAGAGAGAGAAATCGTCCGTTCTACCAATCTAAAGTAAAACGGAAAAATTAAAAACAACACTACTACAGGAATCAAGGGTAATAGTCCAAATGGAAGTTTCGGGGCCCGCTCCACGTGGGAAATCCTGCTTCTTAACATCTACCACCTATCAAATCAATAGGATGTTAAAAAGGAGAACCTCTTGCAAATCACTCGTATGCTCCTCAGAATCACCTTTAGAATCTTCCTGAAAGTGTAGATCCAATAATTCCTCAGAGAAAGGGTGTTGATCACAAGGGGCTATGTTCAAAGGAGTGAATGAATGAAGAATTCCATGCGGAGTAAACTCTCTATATTGTAATCAAGATAATATTGTACTTACAACACCGGCATTGAAAAATAAGGACAACACCTCAAATAGTGACTATTTTTTGCAAGAATAATAATAAGCAAGATGAGTGATGACTAATAATAATATTGGAATGAAATATAAAATATCAAACGCTTAGCAATGATTGAGAACAAGTGGTTAGTAATGAAATGATCACTTTTGTTTGTTTTGGATGAGAATAACAAACAGGGAAATATTACTATATTTAGTGACAGAATCGTATAACAATAGTTGTACTTGCGATTTTCAGTGATAGTCTTATTTCCGTGCAAAGCAAGACTGCTGTTGCCAATTCTTCTATCAATCACTTTCTAATTGATAGTATCTTCATACCAAATGTGTAAGAATGCTTGGGCGAAGAAATGGATGTGCCTGGATGGATTATACTCTTATGAGTAATAGAGACTATGTAGTATTGAAATGAAATACTAAGTTATTCATAAATAAAGGATATGTGCTGAATGACATATGTTTGCAAACTTGTTTTCAGCCATATAAGACATTGAAGGTATTTCTATTTATTATCTGTATTTGCTCAACAGCAACAATTGTTTGATGGTTACCTTACATAAAACATACATATCAGTCTCTAACTTAATATAAGACGTTTTATCACGACCATAGTATTTATTCTTATTTAAATATATTCGTATCAGCGTTAAAAATCCTTTCATTTGTCCATTCATCAACCTAATTTCTGTTTATTGTTTGTATTAAGTATTACTAAAATAGGTCAGTTTCGTGTGATTAGCTATATGCTATTGTTTGTACCTTCCTGGAGTATTAGTATTATCCGTCTAATAATAGAAACTGGTGATAGCGGTGATTATTAATTGAGAATAACAAACTACGTATTATTCCAGGAAAACAACCTGAAAATTACACTATTTTCAAAAACCAATTAATTAGTATATATCAAGATTTAATACTATTTTTTTTTTCATGATTCGATACCACTGTGCTCACGCTATTTATAAATGAATAATATGAAAAATAGTACGATAGAATTGTTGTGCAATTCGATTCGAATGTTAACTCTTCGAGATTTACTATTGGCAATCCGGATTATTGTACTATCTGTATTTTATCGTTCAATGGACTCAAATCAAATCATAAAAACAGGTCTCGATAACAATCACTACTATCAACAATAATTATGTTCTATACCACTCTATTATCATACTATGGAGTACAATCTAATTTTATGACTTGATAGTCTTCATTCATTCACTCGTTCGCAATCCCATTATTTGTCAAGAATATCATACTTCTATATTGATCTTGGATTAATACTAATATGGCTCAGTTTGGTTCTTCCATTTCTCAATAATTCTCTACTTTCATTCCTCACATCGAATACACAAAGGATAGGAACATGCTAGCAGAACAAATCTGGAGAGTAATGATGGAAAAGAGTCAATCGATGATTGGACTATAAAACAATGAATGACCAAATAATCAAGGTGAGGTATGTGGAGCAAAGATCGAAAGCAGGTATTGAATAAAGAGTGACTATTGAATGGAATAAGTTGCATAGATACAATGCTGATATACTTATTTGGTCTCGTGGGCAATGTCAGAAAAAAGGAATACACATCTATAGATACAATCAAATCGATCACACTATACTCGAAATTGAATTCCTTTGACAATACTTGAAGAATCAGGTAAATCGGCATTTTAAAGATTTGAAATATCTATTTACTGTCATAATTCAATATGTGGAACTGCTTTCTAGTATCACTGAGCGAGGACGACAAAAACTATATGCTTTGGTAGTAATGGATGTTAAATTTGGAAGTTCTGCATTCGATCATTTCATTACATTCCATAACTACTTCGCATTATTAAAGAAAAGGATTTGTCATGTTTTCCTCCAAGAGCAGATCAGCCGAGTTGAATGGCTTGTAATAATGGAAGATCTGCAGATTAATCATTTCAATCAAATTCGTTCAATACTTTTGATTATTGTCGATATAGATTCACGAAACGCATAAAAGCCCAAAGTAAACGATTGTCGATTTGGAAGATCTAATCATTTTACACTGCCCATATCATATTAATACCTCGAAGTGTAATTGAACTGGAAAAGAAATTGAGCGAACTATTCACAATATTCCTAATTTGAATGGATTGTAGTTGTGGTAGATTCTTCAATTCAAAGTCGCCTCCAAAATCACTGAAACTATATTCACCAATTTGAATGCATTTCAATGATTCACAATTCAATATGTGGAATGATTTCGATTCATCATTACCATACCTATTCTATGCTAGAGTGAATGAGTTGTTTCCATTATTAATAGTTTTCAATCGACTTAATCCATCGATTTCGAATCTTTGCACTAATTTATAACATTCATTGTCGATTTCGATTGATTCCAAATTATACAACAATGAAACATCCCAATCAACTAATACACAATTATCAGTCAGTTTCAAATGTTTCATTCCGATATTCAGTGGTTTGCTTCCATCGCCTTCATATTTTTCAGTAATATCACATTCAATTCCATTACACCATTCACATTCATTCACTAATTTACCATATCGATCATATACTTTTCCTCTTCCAAATCGATTATCATCACACCAATATCCTTCATATTCAATCAAACCATTATTATGATAACTCGTTTCATATCCAAATCGTTTCCAGTCGATCATTATGCCCTTGTACACCAATATTCCATCATCATCATACATTTCGCCATATCCAAATGGAATTTTTAACTTGTTTTCTGTCAATATCAAGCCTTCAAATCGACTTCCATGATCCAAATCCACTATTCCTTCGACTACTTCTATGGATTGTTCTTCATTATATGAAATATCACCAATTTGATGATTTCCAATCACTTTCAACACTTTCTGTTCATTGACCACAAATCCTTGATTCATGAATACTCCATTATTGAATTTCAATACTACACACTCCATTACTCAACGTGAGTGAAGTCCAACCATCCACCTTCCATTTCCTATTTAAGTGTGCTTGTACCTTTTAAATGGTAAAACTATCTGCATGATAGTTATTGATAACAGATATGGCAAAATCAAGAATACTATGCATTGAAATACGCAATAATATAGAAAAAAAGGAAGATAAACATAACTTATTTTACCATTCTTATATAAAATAGCGCTATTTGAGTATATTTCACATTACATTGAGTATGAATGTGATAACACAAATAAATACGTATGTGAAAATACATTTCCTTTTCTTGTACTCAGTATTTGTTATTCATATTACTTCTTTAATTCCATTATTATTTCTGATATCCTTCCATACTGTTAGATAAAGCATTTTATATTCACCTATTCACGAATATTTCCAAATTGTGTTAACAAATCTGATCCCTAAGTCCGAAATGGATTTACGATTTTCGGAATATATCTATCATATGATAGTTAATATTGGTTGACAATAATCAAACAATAAGGAAGCGATTACGATTGGAATACTTGATTTGACCATATAATTGTGGATGCAAGATAGTGGAGAAATTAGAATACCAAATTCAATATTACCATGTGGATAAGTAGCTAGGAGGGATACATTCTCAGTTGATATTGTGATTCTGTATCAACGCAATGTTCTTTGCGAAAACCTTTTGAAGTGATATTTGTTAGTGTCTCGGTTCTAAATGCTATTTTGGGGGTAGATGGATCGTGTATAATGAATAAATACGACTACATACGAAGATGATCGCATAGGTTACTTGACCATAAGTCTTTTCATGTGATTATCTTTCATGGACTCTAAATTCAATATAAGACTACACTACACTACACTACACTACCCCACCTTACACATTCAAATTCGTTACTCTCTTTTGTATGTTTCATTTTAGGTATATCGTGGTTTCGCTCTGACTTCCTGTGATTCTTATTGTTGTGAACGTCTTATCTGTGATGTTATATTCAAAATCTGTCCCTTTTCTACAGCCTATAAGTTCACACATTCGCATAATAGTTTGTCTCTCGATTACCAAGTGCTATCTACTGTTCCTGTATTATTTGATGATATATACCAGAATCGTTTCCAACCGTATTACTCGAAAATGACCATGGAGTATTAATTACTGGTCCTGGATCATATTTCATTCTATTTGGAGCAATCCGAATCTGATTTCTACCTTCAAACTGTCTTTCATTATCATTCCTTAGTATTACATAATGGTTTCCAATCTTGAAAAATGTCTTTTTACAGGTTTGGGTAAAACAAGGGCAAAGCAGAACGCATGACGGACAATGTTCCTGACTCGTTGGTTCAATTCAGAATGCTTTGATTTCTCGGTTTGTTTTGTGACGACAATCAAATTTGGAATTGTGGGACTGGACAGCCGCATGTCTAAGTGTTTTTTGAAAGTCTTTCTCTGATGCCCTACGGATAATTTGGGTAGAAGGGTTGCTTTTGTGAATTGAGTTATGCTTGTTAGTTGGATTTGAGCCACAGCTTCTCATAGAGTGACCTGTATGATTCCGTACCATGACGAAGGTGATGAAGTTCGTCTTCTGAACAGTCTGGAAATGTTGGTAAAGTGAATCCGATTTCTTTTATCCTCTCAACGAGAAATCAATCTGTGACTGTATTGGTAACTCGGATATCATGATCAATCTGATTGGAAAGTACTATAAGACCAAGAATCTGTATCTTTGAAAGAACTACTCGCATTTCTCTTTCTCCCCAGATTCCAAGACGTCAACATCGACTTCTCCGAGTGCCTTGCGAAGATCTGCAACGAAATGGGCAAAACGCGTTTTCTCCATGTGTCGGCTCTGCAACAGAACCTCAAACATCGTTCGGAGTGTGCTCGCACGAAGGTGGGCTTGGCTTTTCCATTCCATGTTGGCTAAAAGCGACAAAGTGCTCCACGAAGTCATGCCCAGCGCCTGCATCGTTCGTCCTGCAAACATGTTCAGCGAAGATGACCGCCTGTTGACCTGGTAGAACCGCGGGCAGAGCTTATTGGCAGGATCGGCAGCCAGCTGCACATCGATCCGTGGCTGATCAATATCAATGGCAGAAGCGCTCTGAAGCAGCCTGTGTGGATGGGCGATGTGGCCACGGCGATTCGGAAGAACTGCATGACTCCGGACGCTTTCGCGGGAAAGACGATGGAGTTGGCGGGAGGGAAGTGATCTTGTGGGTAGATCTGGCGGCGTGGTTCCAGAAAACAATGGTGAGTTCGACGAAGCTGCCTCGCACGCCCACAACACTGGCTCGTTGGTTCGCGTTTCTGTTAGAGTTGGGTCCGAAGCCGTATCTGTCGAGAAGCGAAATGGAGCTGCGTGTGACGGATACTATTCTGGACCCGGACCCGCATACGGAATGCATTGTATTCAAGGACTTGGGAGTAGGAACGATGGGGAAGATTGAGTGTAGATTGTTCCTCACAGCTTGGAGTAGAAGGGATAGAGTACGGCTCTGCGATATGAAAGGGAGGACACTGGACATATTGTGATGATGGAAACGCAACTATGAGAATGATTTAAGTTCAATTTGTTTTGATTTGCTTCGGTTTGTTTCAAACACTATTTGATAAAGGAGGTGGAGGATAAATATGGAATATGGAGCATGGAACATTATTGATAATAGTTATCATAGTGTAGTAAAATAGATTGGATTCTACGAAATAGGAACAATTTTGTGAATTCCAATATTCTCAAGAATTTAGAGTCATTTTCTATGGATTCGTTTTCTTTTTGGCTATTTGCACTATTTACTTGATATTATTATATATAATGGAATTATATAAAAAACCAAATCCTATTAGTGAGGAGAATACACCTATAATTAGTGTTACTGTTGATATCAATGAAGAAAGCACTGATATATGGAACAATTGCATTTCAAGCGAATTTCCAATTATTAATCTAGATATAAATGAGAATAAGGCCATTTGTCAAATCGGTAGCCCTCATCACGGTTATACCCTAAAAGCAAGTCAAAAGATTGGAATATTGGATGGAACGGCGTTTCTTTATGATTATGATAATCGAGTTGTAGCAAGTTTGACTTATCAGGAAGGTGTTGCTAATGGTATATGTAAATTGTATTATAGGTCCGGAGATATCTATTTCTCTGGATTTTTGCATGAAGGTTATCGAAATGGTCCAGGAGTGGAATATAGTAAAGATGGAAGTACAATTTATGAAGGATTTTATAGAAATGGTCGTCGAGCACCCAATATCAAGCTGAGATCGGATGGTTCAAACTACTGGGATGAAAAAGATGAAAATGGTAAAATGGTTTCACTATTTCAAACAGATGATAATGGCTTAAACCATGGAATATGTTATTTGTATTATGATGGCGAAATTAGTAAGATAAGCAGATGGGAACATGGTAAAGAAACAGAGTTACTAAAGGAATTCAATGGTCATAAAATGAAAGTGTTTAAAAACGGGGAAGAAACATTCAGTGGAAGGTATAGAAAAGAGTCAGACTTTGAATATGTTCCAATCTATAAAAAGAAAATTAAAACTGGGAGTCTTTCAATAGAGTCAAAAGAAGATAATAAAAGGGATTGTGAATGTACATATGATTGTTTTGAGGAAACTATACATAAGATAATGATTTGGATAATGGGAATTATTGGAGTTTTATTCCTTTCTCTATTGTTGTTAATGGCTTTTAGGAATTGGAAATATGTTTCTATAGCTGTGGAAATCATTTATTGCCTGTTTATTTTTTTTATATGATCACGGGAGTCTTTAGTCTTCTTTTGATGTTTGCGGAACTCTTCCATGAATGTAAGTGCTTCTAGAATTGCAACAGTTATCTGCTATAGAACTTAGTGTTTGTTTTCAATAAGACTGGAACATGATTATCCGCAAAAGAATGATAAGTGTGCGATTTCACAAATTGTCATGTTCATTCAAATTAAAAACATATTGTTAAGGCACTCTAGTCATTAAAATCCTTTTCTTATGAAGATGTTGATATCCATTAGAATCCCTTACATGATTGTATTGTATGATCAATTTTGATTGATCTATTAATATAGATAACCCAGCAGTAGTATATAATAATAGAATTAGTATTTATTATCCTTTTAATGTAATAATATTAAGTAGTTGGTAATTGGCGGGTATTGCGCGAAAATTATCGGCCGCCTTTATCGGTCATTTCCTGCCATGTCTGTCCGTCAGCCATAATGTCCCTGCTAAATTGCCCCTCCACCCCTCACCCTTATGGAACCCGAGCCACCCCTGATGCCGCACGTCAGCAGGGATTATATTATCAAGCAAAATCACGCCAATTACCAACTACTATGGTAAAGAAAGGACAGGCACTGCTCCATGTTCATCCAAGGCTCATAAAGTAACAGTACGTTGGAATGGATCAACTCGTACAAGTATAAAAATCCTTACATCACTTCTTTGACTGTCCTCTTCACACCCAACCATTTCATGTTGAACAATGTGGATTCTACGAATGTGGTCATGAACTCGAATGAAGAAGAGATAACGATTCCTCATGGATTACTATACGATCGGTCAAATCATTGCCATCCTCAACACCATGACCGATACTACGTTTTCGATATCTACGAAGGCTTCGAGTTATGGGTGTATTTATATCCAGTCCTCACACATCATCGATTTCATCAATGCTCCGGATATTCGAGAAATCCTCGGTTTGGAAGGACAAATGGTCATTCCACCTGCTTCGTTCTATGGATCGAACGTGATTGATATCACGCGAAATCGTCAAGTGATCCAAGTGTACTCGTTCCTCGTGCGTTCCTCCGATCTGAAGATTGCCAACCAGAACAACAACCTGCTAACCACGATGATTATTGACGATCCCGAGGTTAATTGCCTCTGCACTGTGAAAGACATCTGCATTCCCATGATAACCCGATTCGACCGATTGATGTTCCTGTTCCACGATATGGATGGTAATATCATGCGATTGAACGGCGAATTCGAACTCCAATTGACGATAGAAGATGTGTTTGATTAAGTGCCTTCCTCAATTCTACCGATGAACCAGTTGAGTATGATGGAAGTGTTCGGCAATACTACGAAGAAGGAAGTGAAGTTGGACAATCCTCTATCATTCGACCAATGTTCCATCTCGTCTGTGTCACTCTATACCGATTTCGTGTTGCACAACGTACCAACCGATCAAGTGATATTAATCGATGCGGGGACATCCCCACACGAGGTGTGAATACCCAGAGGAGCCTACGACATCACGAATGGCTTGAGTGTGATCCGAGTGTACAGTAGTATCAATGCTCAAACATTCGGTCTGAAGAGTCCGCTGATCGATAACCTGATTCATGTATCGATGGGACTGAACAACATGACCACCTGGAACAACCTATCGATCGATGTGATTGAACAATGGAACTTGGATTCCATTGATTGGGTATTGACGGACGCAAATGACAATCCAATCTCCTTGAATTCGAATGTCTACATCTCATTCACGATATCTTGTAAGCACAACTTCAGTAAGGAATTCAAGAAGATAGATAGATATCAATGTCTATCTTCTATCTATATACATATACATATATATATCTGAAAAGTAATAGTTTGATTGTTGCCTCCAACAAATAATCAGCCAGATATGTCTCACAGCTTGATATTGGGCAACTACTCATTCCCATAGAGTCCATTCTTATAGATTTCAGCTTTATCATCAACAATACTGATATCACTATTAGTGAGTAATTCTATTCATCCTAATGAGTTGGGAACCAAAGCATTTCACTTTCATCAACCAACTCAAACAGCAAGTATTATGTATACTATTGTTATTCATGCTCGTAATAGAACAACATTGTGAATCACTTTGTATCCCTATTGAAGTGTACAATTCGATACTTCCTTTAAATAGGAGATATTCTGCATTATTTGGCAGGTGGGGGATACTATATGGGTTAGAATAAGGGATAGTATTCTCTGGCAATATAACAATCTCTGATAGGTTCAGAGTGCATCAAAACGACAAAAACTGGACACCAACTATCCAAAAACCTAGAAACAGTGGAATATGAATATATCTCTATTTGTTCGTATAAAATATATTATGTATTCTACCTTATTTTGCTCAGTTCTTCAACGACACACCCACCTTTCTCACAAACTCTACTATTCGATTCTACTATACACACACCACATATTATTACTATAAATGATAACCCAAAAACTGCTTATTGCTAGCTTTTCCATTTTCATTCCTATCATCATCTTTTACATACCCTATTTCTTTCTATCCCATCTAGAGTAGATTCCAAATGAATAGAACGAAAAACAAAACGCTTCCACTGGAAACAACACTCTTCGATCTATTCATTCCACAATATCCCATTTCCGCTCATCTCCTTCCACTTCACAGTAAAAACAACTCCCTCCCTATTCGAAATCTATTCTTCCACTCATACCCAATTTCAACACTATTTTCACAATTGCACAATTCCTGTGTATTTTAGAAATCATTTGTTTTACAATCAAAGCTATTAGATTCGTCTTACTGGGTTTGAATGTATTCTAAATTTGGAATTGGACTTGTATGCCCTGTCTTTTGTTTTGTTTTCGGACTTCTATGTGTTTTTGTGTGTTGTGTTGTGGGAGTGTAAGTATTGTAGCTGGGATGGGTTCTGTCGTCAAGTTGGTGTGTTTGAAGAAGCTAGTGTAGTGTGCGCTATCGTTACTTTGACTAAACTGTGTGTGTGAGATATGCATCGTGAACGCATTCAATACCATAATGGCGGTGGACCCTGGTTCCATTTTTGCTGTGTGGAGTGTGTTCCGAGTGAGGAATTTCTGTACTTCAAACTGTGTAACGTGGCGAACCCATTCATGGCATGTGGGACCGCGGATACATGGAGATAACTTACAACGTGGGAGGTATCTGGTACAGGCACGACGTTCTTGCCTAGGATATCTGTTCTGTTTCTCGTATTTTCATTTTCATATTGTGAGGTGGTAGAGTGTGGTAGAGAGAACGGATTTGCGATGAGTGAAAGGCAAACTATGGGAGCAAGACCTGTAGGTTGGTAGAAGCGGAGCGTGTGTGGAACTTGGGAGAATGGGACAAGAAGGCGGAGTATGCGAACTGCTGTGGGTACGGTCCTCGCCTCTGATTGATGGGAGCCGAGTGAACTGGAATGGCCAGTGGGAGCAGGCGAGTTCCAAGACGGTGCAGTTGTGCATTTGTGGGTCTGTGGAGCATGGGAAGGTGGAGGTGTGCGTGGTGCGGGCGTGTGGGAAGTGGTAGAATGGAAGAGAGATGAGGTGCGTGGCGGTGGTGTGCCCCGCGGACGAAGCGGCGGGGTAGCCGGAAGGGCACTTGGGGCAAGTGTTGGATAGGAAGTGCGATGTGGACTAGTGGGGCATGATCACGGATGGGTGCAACGCCTATCAGCAGTGGGAATCGATCGATCGATCGATAGGGGACGGGCTCCTGCCAGCCCATCCTGCCGATGCTGCGCTAGCGCTGCTCTGCGTGGCGGGCGATGGGGCGAGGGACGTGGCGCTGTGGACGATGGGAGATGGGAAGCAATCCACGATGTACTGCACGAGCAATGTGGGCGTGGGCGAGGTGATGAACGACCCATTCGAGCCCATGAACATCCGCATCGTGTTTGAATTGGCCGAGGCCACGTTCTCCTATCCCACCACCGCGATCTCCATCTCCGACTACACCATTGCCTTCGCCTTCGCCTTCGCCTTCGATGGCTCCTTCCCGCGGTTCTGCGAAGGCACGCACGCTCTACATCAATGCCAACAGGTTGGTGTCCCGAAACGGCCTCCCCTTCCCCGCGGAAACCCTCATCGCGACCTTCTCGACCCGCGCCGGCGTTCGGTTGGCGTTCGGTTGGCGTTCGGTTGGCGTTCGGTTGTGGCCTGCTCGCATTGTGGAGAGCGCGATTGGTATGAGGGAAGTGGAGTAGGCGCAGCGCAGCGCAGCGTGTCTGTGCAGATGGAGGTTCCCTGGAGCAGTGGCATCTCCGATGAAGCCCCGATGGATGGCCTTGATGGGCAGCAATGTGCAGAGCCAGTTCTTCGAGACGCGCTCCGTGTTGGTGGCGGGCGCCATTGTGAACAGCGTGATGGCCATCAGCTGGCGTGTCCGCAAGGGCGCCTCCTGGTCCGCCTTCGCGTCCTTCTCCGTCTACCGCCCCGTCGTGCTGCTGCCTCCCTCCCTCCCTGCCTCCCTCCGCGCCCGTCGTGCTGCTGCCGCCTTCGAAGCCACGCAGGTGCGCTGGGTCTGGTGGTGGTGCGAGCTCTTCGTGCAGGCCTTGGTTGGCTCCCACTCCCAGCTCTTCGCCGCCGACGCGCTCCTCCAAGAGGGCGACGTCCAGCAACCCGAGCTCTCTCTCTCTTTAGCTCTCTCTCGATGCGTGCGTGGCCTACTGGCTGCGCGTGGCGCTGTGCTCCGCCGCGTGCTCCATCCTCTCCGAGGCCTCCTCTCCCATCACCCTCGCCGCGTATGTCGTCGCGCCCGGCGCGGTGCAGAACCTCGAGGTGGCCGCGCTCTCCTCGACCTCGCTGCGCGTGCAGTGGGCAGAGCCGGCGGAGCTGGGCGGCGCCAGCATTCGGTACTACGTGGTGCGACGCTCGTGGATGGCGTCGATGGCCGTGATCCAGAGCGAGAGCGAGAGCGAGAGCGAGAGCGAGAGCGAGAGCGAGAGCGAGAGCGAGAGCGAGGGCGAGGTCGTCAGCACGAACTGCTTCCTGGACCTGCAGAGCGTGCAGAGCGTGCAGAGCGTGCAGAGCGTGCAGAGCGTGCAGAGCGTGCAGCACGCGCCCATCTATCTGAGCGTGGCCGCGTTCACCGGGTATCTCTCCCGCCAAGAGAAGATCCCCGCGGTTCTGTATGCGGTGTGTGTGGAATCAGGCGGAGGGCATTGAGTGGGACTGTGCGATGGCGATTACCGGATCCTTCCATGATCTCTGCACCGCCACGTGCGAGCTTCGCGCTCCCGCGACTTCCTCCTTCCTCCTTCCTCCTTCCTCCTTCCTCCTTCCTCCTTCCGCCGAACCGTCTGGTTCCCCGCGGGACGCGATGTGTGGGACGTGTTGGAGGGTGGGATCCCCGCGACTTCCTACACGCTGGAGTGCGTCCCGAGCGAAGTGGGCAGTGCCGAGTGGATGGGCAGGCAATTCGGAGTGTCCACGATGGCCACGTCGGAATTCGTTGGGTGTTGGTGGTGGACGGCGAGCCAACCTCCTCGCTCACCGGTTCGCTCTGGGTGTGGGTGTGGGTGTGGGTGTGAGTGAGCAGGAATCTGGTGGGCGATGGGGTGGGGTCCGTGGCTCCCTACGAAGGTGTGCAGAGTCGACCGGGCTCTCTGGATCTCTTCCTGTCCAACTGGGCGCAGAACGCCACCGTGGTCTCCGTCACCCAGCCCCTCCGCCTCCGCCTCCGCCTCCGCTTCCGCTTCCTCTTCGCCTACGACGTGACCGGCGCGCTCATCTGCGCCCACCTCGTCGATCACGCCTGGTGCGCCGTGGGTCGCGATGTTTCCACGTTTCCACGATCCAGACCGATTTGGCAGTTGCTGAGAGAAAGAAAGAGAGAAATGGTTGCGGTGTTTGGTTTGGATGGATGGATGGATGGATGGATGGATGGATGGAATTGTAGAGATGTGGAATGGTTGAAGCGTTGTAGGATTTGAATGAGAATCGAAAATGTGTTTAGGAAGGAAAGAAAATGTAGATTTAGAGTGTGTAGGGTGTTGGAATGATTTAGAAACATGAACAGAATAATCCAGAACGAGGAACCAAACGACTCTAGTTGATAATAACAATAATAATAATAGAGTGCTGTGAGTTGATAGTTGAAACAAACAAACAAAGATAGAAAGAAAGTGTATTTAGAGTTAGTTGGTTGGTTTAGGATAAGGAAATGATAGAAAATGGAGTGAATGGTTAACGATGTGCGAAGATAGGTTCTTTGTGTGAAAATCACTGGATCAAAACCAATTTCCATCCGATTTGATTTACTAGTTTTACTAGTTTTACTAGTTTTAATTGCTTTCAAACCCAGCCATTCCCAAGTCAAAATGATTTGGCTAGAATCATGGATGGATAGATTGGATTATCGAAAGAATAATGATAATAATAATAATGATAATATAGACTATTTAGACAAAGTGGAGTGAACAACCAAATCCTTGCTTCATAACACGATTTCACTATGATATCATAAATATACAACCTATATAGACATAGTAGACAACAAAATGGACTTTTCCATTCTGAGTGTTTCCAAACAACCCTGATATTTTAAATATCTATACCTCCGAACTATTTCAACCACAAAAATGTGAACAAAATGATGCGAAACACAAGTGAGTACTTCACTTGGAAATCTTGGATCCAATGTGTATATGGTAGCACTCTATCATAATTTTTTAATATGAAGAATACTTAGGTGTAAGGAAACAAACTGATCTCTCTGTTTTCTTCATAAATTCTTTATATTTGGCTACAAATTACGAATTCAAAGAGTAGAGGCTAAGGATATGTGATTCCAAATAGGTAGAATGCAAGAACTTAAGGGAAGCGAATTTCTCCTGAACGGTTACATAACGCGTGGTGAAGCAAAGGAAATCACTATTGGAGGCTGCAAGTATAGCCTCCAATATTATCAAGGCGATCACGAGGATGAATACACGTTGACGAGAGCTGGGAAGGTTTGCCTATTCCAAAATGGCATACTAAAGATGTACTACGAGGTGGATGCAGACGGGAGCGAAATCGGTGACTTTACCCGATTTGAAAATGGATGCGTCGCTTTTGTGCAATCCTACGATGAAATCTGGGACAATCGGGATTTTCATCGTATAATAAACCATGTCCGAGGCGAGCGAATGGAAATCTATTCGCATGAGAGTGATCACCTGATATATCACGGTGAATTCAATGAGAAGCGAGAACGAGAAGGATGGGGCATCGCGTATGACGAAGAAACGGGTGCCATGCTGCTCGAAGGGATGTGGAAGGGGAACAAGCTTGTGGAGATCATCCGCAAAATCGAAGGAAGCATTATGATCGAGTTTAAGCGAAGCGGGAATAACACAACCGCTTCGAATCGAATTCCCCTCTATGTGGGTGAATTCGTTTATGATGAATCGAAAGAATCGTTTCTTCGAAATGGTCGAGGATACTGGATCGATGAAGAAACTCGGATTGCTACTCGCGAAGTGGAATGGAAAGATGGAGTGGAAGTGAGTGGAAGAGATCTCTATGATGGATGGTACACTCGATCCACAACTCCAAAACCCAAACCCAAACCCAAACCCGCTCCGATGCTTGTGCCTGCTCCTGCTCCTGCTCCTGCTCCAAAACGCGAAGAACCTGCTCCTCTTCGATTCAGCGTCACTGGATCTACAAAATGGACCGATGTGAGTTTGCAAGTGACCGATTTGAAGATTTCATCGAATTGCTGTAACGATTTGAATGCATTGGATCTGAATCGATTCGAGTGGCTACGATCTATCGAAATCGGCGATGAATGTTTTGGATCAGTGAAAACATTCCAAATCGATGGATTGAATCGATTGAAAACTATCAAAATCGGAAGCAATTCATTTACTCAGAAAAAGAATGATGATGGAGATGATAAATTGAAATCATTCCACATATTGAATTGTGAATCATTAGAATCCATTCAAATTGGTGAATATAGTTTCAGTGATTTTGGAGGCGACTTTGAATTGAAGAATCTACCACAATTACAATCCATTCAAATTGGTACATTTGGAAGTCAATCATGCAATTTCTGGTGTAGTTCATTTGTGGTTCGAGGTATTGATATGATATTGAATATTTGAATGATGCATAGATCTTCCAAATCTACAATCCATTACATTAGGTAATGAGGCATTCCGTGAATCCTTATCAACAATAATGGAAAGTATTGAATGAATTCGAATGAAATGATTGATGTAGATCTTCCATCATTACAATCCATTCAACTCGGTTATGGTACACTTAAAGGAAGATGGGATGATTCAAGTTCATTGATAATGCGAAGTAATAATGAATTTATGTTAAATGATTTGTTTTGTAGATCTTCCAAATCTAACATCAATAACATCTGCGGGAGATAGTTTCTATTATCCTCGTGTGTGACATTGGCTAAAGTATTTTCTGACATACTTGAATAATTGATAGTATTTAGATATTCCAAATCTTCAAAATGTCAAGCTACCTTATACATTCCAGAGAGTTCGATCGAAATCAATTTCGAGTATAATTTGATTGATTGGATTTGATTCATAGATGTTTCTTCCATTCTCGCTGATCTTGTCCACTAAATCAAGCATTAAATCTATAATTTTGATTTGATTTGAATTGTTCAGTGATTCGTCATTGTTTAGGAACATTTCCATTGATTGATTGATTGTTTGTTTCAAACCGATTCTTGATCACAATTCATGATTCTATAATTATCAAAATATCAATTCTGTCTGATTATTATGATATTCTTCTTTACCATTTTAACAATGATACTGAATTATGATTGTTGTTTCAATCAATCAATCAATCAATCATTGTTTTCGATCATTATTATCATTATCATTAATATTACCAATGAGCCAATGATCACATATTGAACATTCACAAATGATGAATCTAATCTACCAATAATAATAATAATAATATACAAATGATGGTTTGAATAGGTTTGAACTAGGATTTGTTCAATATTGATAGGAAACTGCTTGCTTCGAATAATCATCATCATAATCATCATGAATAATAAGATTGGATTTGATAGTGACACAATGGAATGGTTGGAATCGATTGATATTGGATGATTATTCACATTTGTGAATCCATTGTTAAATCGGTAGATAATACAATACAATAGAATGATTGATATTGAATTCGGATATTGATTTTGACTTATTGAATAAGAATCGATCACTGTATACATAGAATAGAATAGAATAGAATCAAATAGAGGTGAAATGGATAAAGCAAGGCAATAAAACTAGAATAGAATAGAATAGAATAGAATAGAATAGAATCCGATTGAATAGCATTGGAAATCATATTGGATTCACCATTCAATCAATCCAACTATCATTTGTTTGTTTGTTTGTTTGTTTATCAATGAGTCACAAAACATGGATTTATCAATTTGATAATAATGGAATCAAATCGGATGTGTTTGATACTTGATAGTTGTAGTTAGTAGTAATATCAATCGTGGTTTCACATTTCGATATTTGGATGGAATGTCGTATTCTTCAATATCACACAAACCACTCACTCATTCACTCACTCAATCAATCAATCAATGGATGAAAGATAGCTGATTCAAAATGCATATGAATGTTGAATATCGTAAAGAATCAATTCATCATTCACAATCAATAATACTGATAAGAATAGAAAGGCTGATCAATTTTTTGATCCATTGAATGAATGATTGAATGGTGTGTATTTGGTTAGTTTTCGATCTCCATTCATCATCATCATCATTATTATAATGATTGTATGATCATCATCCACATTATTCATCGGTCTATTTCAGCATATTGAATACCATTAGATCACTTTGGTATTGTTGATCATGAATAGAATGATTGGATAGGATCGATCAATCAGAATCAGAATCAGATTGATGATGGAATATTTCAACCATCAACCCTCGTGATTATTATTAGTAGTAGTATTAGTTTTTGTATTTGTATTTGTTCGATTATCAATGATATAGAATCGATCGAATGATTCATTGATAGCGATCCAATCGACTGATAGAATTATACAATTGATTCGATCGAATCCAAATGGAACAATCACTCAAACACATTGTAGTCTCAATGGTTGTTTTGCAATTGAATCGATCGAGATTCATGAAATCATTATGTTCGATCATTGTATTAGCTGGAATCTATCATTGTACTGTATTGCATAACAATACTCTTATTTCTTTCTTTATTTCTGATCATTATCATTATTATTATCATTATTATTGATATCATTCAAATCATTAGATCCTATTCGAACAAGTCAATATGGAATCAGCATTTGATAATCACAATACAATAATGAGACATATTGTGAGAACCATTTGTGTTGTGGTTTGAATATGAGTATTTCGATAATGGCTTTTCTTGGAATCCATTGTTTGGTTGTATATTCAATATGCTGTTTGTGATTGTACACCGATGAATCCACAAATCACATATTTCGAATGAATCTTGATCGAACGACTTCAATCGAATCGTTTTGACAAGATTCATTGCACTTAATCCAATTGAATCAATAGGAATCGACACAATCCATATTTGTTTGTTGAGATAGTATTAATTTGGATAATACTCAATGATTCATTATTTTTATGTTTTTGTTTTGTTTTCTATTGTTGTTGTTTTGATGTTGCTTATCTATTTTTGATTATTCCATTTTTCATTTGTTGTTGTTGTTGTTGTTTTTCAACTATTGGAATTGATTGTAGTTCATTTTATTATTTCATTTTCGATTTTGATTTTTAGTTTATTCTTGTTTGTTTTGCTATTCTTTAGTTTTCTTTGTTTCTTATTTTCTTATATTTGTGCATTTTCTTAATCCTCCTTTTTTCTTCTTTTCTTTTGTTTTGTTTTGTATTATATGATTCTAATTTGTTTTTAGTTTTTCTTTTTTGTATTTTCTTTTTCTTTATTCCTTTTTTAATATTCTAACATTCATCCTTTTATTATTCACTATCCACCAGACAAATTGGATTGTGTCGATTCTTATTGATTCAATTCTCATAAGGAAATATGTGATTATTTGTTTGGATTGTTCCATGTTTTGTTTTGCTTATTTCTCTTTGTTTTCTGTTTATCATCATCATCATTATTATTATTATTATATATCCATTTTAACCAATCATAGAATCAATCATGTGCCATCAGTTTGAAACAACAATACAAATTCCACAGATCATTGTAAAATGAACCAGATAGAATTGTTCCAATCATAATCAATCGAAATGTGTTCCTATGAAACGAATCAAATCAAATCAAATCAAATGATCAAACGGAATCGAATGAAACACAATGAATCAAATCAAATCAAATCACCTAACAAGATAAGATAAGATAAGTTTAAACTTACCAAATGGAATTGAAATCTATGAAAATCATATGAAATCAATTCCATTCTATTTATCAACAATACTCGAATCGATTTCGATTAAACATACCCCAATGATACAAGTAGATTGACATTTTGAAACAGATTTGGAATATCTATTTACCATCTCTATTCAATATTTAGATCCACTTTCCAATATCACCAAAACGAGGACAACAGAAACTCCATTATACAGAAGTTAGTGATGTTAGACTTGGAAGATCCAAAACAAATCATAACCAATCAATTCATTGTTACTTCGAAGTATCAATGAACAAGAATCATCATCATCCCATCTTTCTCCCCTACCTTCCAGTATCCGATATCATATGATACATATTGTTTTTCCTTCTTATTCATTTATTCATTCTGTTTTCCTTCATCACTCACTCATTCATTCATTCATTCATAGATTAATGGATCATTGATTGTCATAAAGGAAACACTTGATTCTTTGCTTTCATTGATTCCATTTCTTCTTTTGTTGACAAGGAATATTGTTATCGATTTTGATGGTCTGGAATCAATGAATGAATAGTAGGGGAGAAAGAGAGAAATAGCAATAGCAGCAGCAACAATAGTAGCAGTTGTAGTAAGCAATGGACCAAACTATCTATCAAATGATTTAATCAATAATCAGAACCTACAATACGAAATCATTTTAAATCAATCGGATTGATGTTTCGTGACAACAATCAATCTTTCCATGCAAACCGACAATCAAATGATCTTCTCTTCATTTATATTTAAATCTGAATCGATTCACATAGATTCATTCAATTATGTGGATTGTTTGAAATTGATATGCATTCTTGGTATTTGTTTGTTTTCACATATCGAGTTTGTTCTTCATTTCGATCATTCCACATAACAATCCAATTGATCTATTATCCAGAATCGATCAGTAAGTATTATTGATTGATTGATTGATTGATCCATGATAATAATAATACTCATATTACCAATAATGTGACTATTATCATGGATTTGGTTCTTTCCTTATTTCTTTATTAAACTACATATATGGTTGTTTCAATATTTCTTTCTATGATTATTACTATTATTATTATTAATCATCAATAGCTATGGATTGTTCTCAGATATTCTTCTTCTCACTCCTTTTACTGTTATTATTCTCATTATTGCTTGTTATTCAAATACACATTGTTTGTTCTACATCAATTTGGTATTGATTTGATATCGGACACTGCATTGAGTTCACAATTCATCCATTTGGATGATTACTCATGTTATTGTTCGTTTCTATTATGTTGTTGCTGCTCATTACTTCATTTCATTTCATTTCATTTTAGTTCTGTTCTAGACATTGCTTTTGAACACATAATCTTATTATTATTCTCATTGATTTCTATTACTGTTATTATTGTTGCTGTGCCATTTTAACGAATTCATTGTCGTTATTATTGTTGTTATTTGCTTTGTTGTTTGATAGATTCATATTATGAAAGAGTATACAGAATAGGCATCGATTCAATCAATCAATCAATCAATCATGCGTTAAACAGTCATAAAAGCATGAATAAATGATTGATTGAATGGTTGAATGATTGAATCGATGACATTATTGATGCAGAATTACAGTTCATTGGTTGTGATAAAGGTCTTTGTTGTTTTGTGAATCACTCCACAGAGAGAGAATCTTTCATTCGTTCATTCAATGATTCAATGATTTGTTGGTTGATTCAATCATTCAATCAACCATCCAAACCAAAGTGAATCAAATATGATTTATGAATGAATATAGAATAGATTAGAATAGAATAGAATAGAATAGATTGAATGAATGATTGAATGAGATCCTTGTTACTGATTTACAGATCATTGGTTGTGAGGAGTGTCTTGAGATTGTCAATCAATTCTTAGATAAGATATCATTCATTCATACATTCATTCATTGATTTGATCGTATAATCATTCAAATATCCCATTGCAATTCACATGATTGGTCCACTTTATACAGATTTAACGATATTTCCTTGTCAACAATCCATCATTCATTCTTATGGTACAAAATATACATAATCACAGTATGGACTCAATTCAAATCGATGTTTGTAGGATTACTCATTCATTCATTTGTTTGTTTGTTTTCATTTCAGTGTTGAATTGCTGAAATCGAATCGAATCCAACTCCAATATCACAACCAATCACATTCCCATTCATTTCGATTCTCTCTCATTCACTCTTCATTATCATAATCACGTATTACATTCATAATAAATGACTGATACATATCATTGAATGGATCA